CTCAAATTACAATTCTTGCTTTCGTGAACTGGAACAAAAGATTAACTCAGGACCATTGTTAAACATAGGGTGTTTTTTTTGCCCCTTTTATCATGCCCTGGTAATTTGCAATTGTTCTGCCCCACTTCCCCCCACCCCCCATTTTGGTTTATTTCAAAACTTATTTTACTGTAAGTAAATGAGGAGAACTGGGAGTTGACTATGACAACTCCATGGAAGGATTAGCTTTCAATTTTTTTCATGGTCAAATTTATATTCTTAAATTTGAGCCTGGATAGCTCTGCAGACTAAGCACTGTAATTTAACACCAGCTGTCTGCAATTAAAGTAAGTTTGAATCTTGCCAGGCTCAAGGTTGACTCAGCCTTTCATCCTTTCTAAGGTAGGTAAATTGAGGACCCAGTTTATGGGGGCAATAAGCTGACTTTGTCTAAAATATACAAAAGTATGAAGGCTATTGCTTAACGCACTGTAAGCCGCCCTGAGTCTCCGGAGAAGGGCGGCATATAAATCAAATTAAAAAAAAATTATATTCTTATATTCTTGTATAAAAGGCAAAATTTAAAACTGGATATATGGAAAAAGAAACCATAGTACTATACACTGAACCATTGTAAATGTTCTCCACAGAAGTTGCCAACACAAACATGAGCTGATCATGTAGCAACCAGGACTGGCATTGGCGAGTGGAATTTCAGGGGCAGATTACTGCAGTATTTTCCACCCTTAGCCACTTGAAAATGTGTGGACTTCAAGTTCCAGAATTCCCCAGTAAGCCTAGCTTGCTAGGGAATTCTGGGTGTTGAAGTCCACACATCTTCAAGTGACTAAGTTTGCGAAACACTGCTTTACTGACTACATTGCCTCTGTACATTATCCACTGCCCCATCTTTCTTGATGAGGGTAGGTTCACCATGCCTTATCTGAAAATAGGGCTATGACATTGCACTACACCTTATCTGTTAGGGTTACTCATGCTTATTTTGATGGGCTTAGGTCAATATCGGGCTAGGGTTATGATCTTGTGAGTCTTGTACCATGTGGGGTGGATTATGCATATCACATCCGCGGAGAAGGGGTATGTATGTCATATCCGGAGGGTGGGTGCTGAGCACTTCACTTCCATTTAGGGGCATGATCTGGTGATGTAATCATCACATGAATTTGTTTACTTTGATGACGTCACTGATCAAAAGTACTAATAATTTTCATTAAAATTTGGTATACACTATATCTACTTCTCTCTACTAGAGCACCATAGGGATTTTAATCCTATGATGAGTATGCTATGGAATAACTAACAAATTATCATTATTTCATGAAAATACAGTTTCCAAAATCTTTAGAAGATAGAACAGCTGATGTGATAACACTTGATTGTATGATAAATAATACACATGTTTTAGCTGCACATTTTAATTCAATTATATATTTTTGGATCAAATAACACTAGGAGATTCATCAACAATTACTAAACAATTACTAAACCTACTTAATGTAATGGGAATTACTTCCAAATAAAGATGTAAAACCCTGAAATAAAAATGATTCTTGAATCTCTTGCATGCATTCTTCCACCCATATTTAGAATTAATTCATTATTAGTGTGTATATTTCCAGGGAATATTGTGTTAGCATATTATTGATGTTTGGAATTAGCATATAAGAAGGAAGCTGAGACCTTATGGGATGTAGTGTTCTTCACAATGTAGGAGATAAGGAAAGAGAGAAAGGATTAATGATGACAGAAATCAGAAAGTAGGGTTGGGCATAGGAAATATGGAAGGACACAGTAGCAGGGAGAGATTAGAGCACAGAATAGTTACATAATAGACTGTAATCAGATATTGTTATTTCACTTAATACTTGGATATAGCTGCTGAGAATTTCCTTAAATAAAAAGATATTGAATATGTTCAGCTATTGGTATCCTACTCTAGGTATGCTTCAAGTTTAATACCTCTCACACCATGTGATGGTTTGAAACATTTGACCAGAAAAGGCCTACTGCTCTACAGCTTAAGAGTGGTGGCAGCTGATTATTCCAGATAGACCTGCAAGACATTTGACGGACAAGAGACAGCTTAATACAGTGGAAAGAATGCTTGGAGAGAGCAACATTAAAGTTAAAAGCTTAACTTTTGTAAGAAAGTGCACTTGCATGAAAGAAAGATATTTAACCATTTCTCATTCTCATTACTACATGTAAAAATCAGAAAAATGTTGTTACAGGAAAATTGCATCCTGCCATCATCTATTTCTTTATTCAGGCCAATATCTTGTCATTGTAGGTCATGTTAAGAGGTTGGAAAATAAAATATATCAACAGTCCGGAGTCTTCTTGGAATCTGATGATCACATGCCTTAATGTTAATCACTTTACCTACTAGAAAAGGAATGGCGATATGGAAGAACTACACAAGAATATATATATATATATATATATATATATATATATGGACCTGTAGTTGTCTTTTGGAAATGGAGAACATAATGTCTGATTATGAACTGAAACGGATGCCTGGTTCATGCTATAAATATCTACTGCTGTCTTCACCCTGAAAAGATGTCACATTAATAGCCATTTGGCTATGTTAGAAAAGTTTGGAAAGTTTAGCATATTTGTTGGAATCCAAGCTCAACTATTCCCTCATGTGGAGTCAATTATATTATAGGCAAGAATTAGGAAGCCTGTGCTGATGTGAACACAATGTATGGTAGTTATACTTGGACAAACAAGCCCCCCAAAATTGCTATGATTGGAATGCCTAGTAATATTTCAGTATTATTGACTGAGTGCTGATAATGTTACACTACTGATACACACCCCAGAGATCCTGTGTTTGGAGAACCTGAGAGCTGAGAGATTGAGGCTGAACCCAGGAGGATAGAGTTGGGAAGAAGAGAGCATTTTATACTCAGAATAACAGAATTGGAAGGGACCTTGGAGGTCTTTTAGTCCAAACCCCTGCCTAGGCAGGAAACTCTACACCACTTCAGACAAATGGTTATCCAATATCTTCTTAAAAACTTCCAGTGTTGGAGCATTCACAACTTTTGGAGGCAAGTTGTTCCACCAATTAGTTGTTCTGTCAGGAAATCAATCCTCACACTTATGACTCTGGCAATATTCCCATGATAACAATTTGGATGCTTGGCAACCAGAATGTATTTACAACGGTGGCAAAAGTTGTAAAACTGGGTATGAATATTTAAAAATTGTAAGCAGAGGTGGGCTTCACATACTGTAACAACTGGTTTGGCCAGCACCGGAAATGTGAGCATGCATGTGTGAATGTTCACTTCGCTCGCGCGCACACTATCCATGCATGCATGTCTTGCAACGTCAAACAACACAGCAATTCGCTCGTGCATTCCATCCATACATTCGTGTGGTGTGAAAAAGAGTGATATAGGACGGAATTGCACCAGGGCAGGTGAGTGGCCTACCCACAGGTCGCTATTACCGGTTCGGTCCCAACCGGCTGAATCCCACCTCTGATTGTAAGTCAAACACTACCTTACTTTTATTCTTGAATTCTGTGCCTTGGAGACTCTCAGATGATGGTGATAATATACGAAATGAGAACTCCAGTTTTAACGCCTGTGATATTCTATACAAATTAATAAATGAATGACCTCAAATGACAGAGCTTAAGATATGCATATTTTCATAGAACTGACAAAAGTGTGAATGTTGTTTTGCTAATAGGCAGCCAGTGGCCCAAATAAAATAATATTATGATACAGAAAAGCTACTGCAGGAGAGCTGATTTCTCTTCTTTGCTCTAAATATGTCTTGTCTGAATTTAAAATCTCACTTCTTTTGCCTGTTTATCCCCTGAAAGTTCGCTGTTGACACTATTTCCAGGTATTTTAAAAGCTGTAGCAGAACTGCCCTGCTGTAACTTAGCAACTACAATATTTCTGCAAATGCCTTGGGTATATACTGAAAGAAAAATATGCCATCTGCTCACATGGCTCTCGTTTTGGCTATGGCAACATGATCTGACAAATAGAAATCAGTGGTGAAGAAGTGGGAAACACAGCTGTGACTTCTGACACAAGGTTGTTGGTATTTCTCTGCTTGTATCCAAGGCAGAGGATTAGGAAAAATCGCAGCTCTTGATTACACATTGGCTAAAATAAAGCAGCAACCCCTTAGCATGTAAATAAGACTCAGCACTATCTTTGACATCACCAAGAAGATATCGAACAGAAAATAAACCTAACAAAATGTCAGTCACACTAGTGGTGGGATTCAGGTAATTTAACAACCAGTTCTCTGCCCTAATTGATTTCTTCCAACAACCAGTGTGCCAAACTGCTCAGAAAGTTAACAACCGGTTCTCCCGAAGTGGTGCGAACTGGCTGAATCCCACCACTGAGTCACATCCTTTTCCCCGTTGGACATGACCAGGGTTAAACCCAGCTCTTCTCTTTGTCTAATCCATCAAACCAAAATTGACCCTTTCTGCCCAAACAACCCCCCTGCAAATCCATCAAATCAAAGAATAGAAACTTCCTACAAGCTCACAGTCCAGCCCAAAGTCAGCCCTAACAAAATGGCAACCTGAAAAAAAACCCCACCTGTTCCATCCTCCATCATTTGATGATTTCAAAGCTCCACCTCCTTCATAATAAACTTATTTAGCTCTGTTGACTTCCTGAAAGGGTCATTTTGCCTGATAATTAGATATAACCTAAGGCAGGGGGTCCCCAACCCCGAGGCCCCAGACTGATAGCAGTCTGTGGCCTGTTAGGAACTGAGCCACACAGCTGGAAGTGAATGGCAGGCGAGCAAGCAAAGCTCCATTTGGGTATTTGCAGCCACTTCCTAGGGTTAGCATCATCGCCTCAGCTCCACCTCAGATATTGAGGCATTAGATTCTCATAGAAGTGTGAATTCTATTGTAAACTCCACATGTGAGGGGTTTTAGATTGCGCACTCCCCCCCCCCAGTCTGTGGAAAAATTGTCTTTCATTATAAGAAGCAACTGCTTATTATTTCGTTTTATTATTTTATTTCATTTCTCAGGAATGCCGTGCGAGATGCAATCAAAACACAGCTACAGCCTTATTCAGCTCTTTTGGCATGCTGGTTTCTTTGCATCCGCATCCGGCTACACACTGTGATTCGTAAACACGATTGAAATCGGCGCTACATTACACCAAGAATGGGGCATTTATATAGCCCATCTTTCCATTAACTCATTAGGACCACGCCCTTGTTTGTTACCACGCCCCTCTTTTAGGGGCGTAGATCGCGCCCTTGTTTATTACCACGCCCCTCTTCTAGGGGCGTAATTGGTCTTCAGCGTGTTCTGGAAGGTGCTGCCGCTGTGTCCTCCGGAATGGCCCTAATCCCGTCGCACCCGATACCACCACCCCACACCCCGCATACGGCTGCCTTCACCCAGTGCCACCACCACCAAGTATGTATATGTCCCTCGATGCTTTCAGCACGCGTTAGCGATGTCGAGCAGGTTGCTAGGCTCGACAGGCAGCTCCCCTTTCACCACGTGTCCTTCTGTAAGAGATAAGTTACACGTATTAGTAGATAACCGTGGTTTGTGAGGATACATTCTATGAAACCGTCGAATCAATCGGTTTGCTTTTACATTACTATGCGGTATCCAAGAAGCCTCTTCTACTGGATAACCCTTCCATTTAACAAGGTAAGAGAGGACCCCCCTTGTCCATCTAGAATCTAGGACTTCATCAATTTCGTAATGGCCCTCCATGACCGGACCAGGACGGTCGAATACTTGGATATGTTTGGCGGGTTTGAGAAGACTACTATGAAATACGGGGTGGATCTTCCCCAATAACGGAGGTAACTTTAGTACTACAGTCACAGGATTTACTACTCGTATCACCGGAAACGGGCCCAGATATTTCGGTCCCAGTTTCCTACTAGGAAGCCTTAATTTGATGTATTTGGTAGAAAGAAATACCATGTCCCCTACCTTGAATGGTTGAAACGGTGCTCGTTTCTTATTCGCCTGGCTTTTATATGCGAGGGCTGCTTTATCTAATGCCTCTCTGACCTGGGGCCATACCGTATTCATCTTATCGGCCCACTCATGGGGCATTGTCGACATCATTATTATAAGCAACTGTGTTCTCTTCGCCAATGATGTAAAAATATTTAACACCACAGACAATGCTGCTACCCTTCAAAAAGACCTTGACTTTGTGTCGGAATGGTCAAACAATTGGCAACTCCAAATCTCAACCAACAAATGCTCTGTTTTACACATTGGCAAAAAGAACCAGAACACAAAATACAAGTTGAGTGGACACGACCTTGTAGATGACCCTCACTTTCTCAAGGACCTCAGAGTACTCATATCTAATGATCTAAGTGCCAAAGCCCACTGTAACAACATTGCCAAAAAGGCATTAAGAGTTGTAAACCTAACCTTGTCTAGTTTCTTCTCCAGTAATATCACACTACTAATGAGAGCATACAAAACATTTGCTAGACCAATTCTTGAATACAACTCATCTGTCTGGAACCCACACTACATATCTGACATTAATACAATTGAATGTGCCCAGAAATATTTCACAAGAAGAGTCCTCCACTCCTCTGCTCGCAAAAAAATATCTTATTCCACCAGACTTGAAATTCTGGGTTTAGAAAACTTAGAACTATGCCACCTTCGGTATGACCTAAGCGTAGCTCATAAAATTATCTGCTGCAATGTCCTACCTATCAATGACTATTTCAGCTTCAACCACAACAATACATGAGCACACAATAGATACAAACTGAAAGTGAACCGCTCCAAACTTGATTGCAGAAAATATGACATCAACAACAGAGTGGTCAATGTCTGGAATGCATTATCTGACTCTGTGGTTTCATCCCCAAACCCCCAAAATTTTAACCTAAGACTGTCTACTGTTGACCTCACCCCATTCCTAAGAGGTCTGTAAGGGGCGTGCATAAGAGCACCAGCGTGCCTACCATCCCTGTCCTAATGTTCCCTTTAATTGTATTCATTTTATGTATCTAATCCATGTTTATATTTATTATCTAATACGTTCTTGACGAATAAATAAATAAAAATAAATAAATAAAATCGGTCTCTGGTGCCAAAAGTGTTGGAGACTACTGACCTAGGTACACTGACAAGGACCTGCCTTCTTCTCCAAACTGGCCAGCAAATCAGACCCCTGGAATTTTCTGCCTTGTAGCTCTCAACCTCTATACAAATCTGTAAGTCTGTAGAGATTCTCAGTCATCCAAGTCATGGTTGTCCCAAAGGTGCTTTTTCAGGAGACAACTGGACTTGCTTGTTTTTTCTTTTGAAGACATTTTGCTTCTCATCCAAGAAGCTTCTTCAGCTCTGATAGGATTCCCCACTATCCTATCAGAGTTGAAGAAGCTTCTTGGTTGAGAAGTGAAATGTCTTCAAAAGAAAAAATAAGAAAGTCCAGTTGTCTCCTGAAAAAGCACCTTTGGGATATACAAATCTGTATTTTTCTGATGTTTAGGGTCCCTCTTTACTTGTAAAACAGGCACCCAAAGATCATTGCAATAAAGCTTGGTTCTTCCCTTCAATATTATGCTCCTTCTTCAGACTGAATTCATGACAAGGATGATATACTGACGTGTCTATCTCAAGATACTTGCCTCTTCCTATTGTTACCAGTGCTGCCTGGAAGACACATTTAGGGTCAAGGCTAAATGGTTCAAACTGTACAGTACATTACATGCAATATCAAGTGTTAACTGCATCCAGCATAGCCAAGCCTCCAGGCTTACTCTAATCTCATGTATTTATCATCACATCTTCGCCAACTTGTATTTCTTTAAATAAGGAGCACAACTGTAAATGTTTGTTTTTAGTACAAAGGGTCTCTAGTTATTTGTTAAATTTATTTGCCCCCTATTCTGCAGTGGGGCTACTCTAGGCAGCTTACAATAATAAAAAGGAAGAAAAATGAAAACAGAACAGAAGTAAAATAACAGAATAATAAAGTGCACAATATTGGCTATAAAACACGTATACATCTACACATGTCCCAGGTCTCTCTAAAAATTACCCATCAGACAGTCACTTTTTAACATGACAGAAGGAAAAAATTACAAAATTCACGGGGAGGTATCACGTTAATTATTTATCGTAGCTAAAACTCCAAATACAATGTCTATAGCATAAAATGGCTTATCTGCTATGTGGCAACAGCACAGTCTTGATCCTATGCAGGAGTTATGAACAGCAAAACTGGAAAACAATTCCTTCCATATATTTATACCAACAGTGGGAATATAAAATAGTAAAGGTAAAGGTTCCCCTTGCACATATGTGCTAGTCGTTTCTGACTCTAGGGGGCGGTGCTCATCTCCGTTTCAAAGCCAAAGAGCCAGCGCTGTCCAAAGATGTCTCCGTGGTCATGTGGCCGGCATGACTAAACGCCAAAGGCGCATGGAACACTGTTACCTTCCCACCAAAGGTGGTCCCTATTTTTCTACTTGCATTTTTTACGTGCTTTGGAACTGCTAGGTTGGCAGAAGCTGGGGCAAGTAATGGGAGCTCACCCCGTTATGCAGCACTAGGGATTCGAACCGCTGAACTGCCGACCTTTCGATTGACAAACTCAGCATCTTAGCCACTGAACCACCACACCCCAAATATAAAATAAATATTGCTAAATTCTCGGGCAGTGAGATAATTGAATCTGTGTAGCCATGTGCTTTTGAAGGACTGGTTTTCTAGGGTTCTACATGAGATAGGACAGGAAACCAAGGTGGCACCCATGGACGCAGATTCCCATCAAGCTGTACATATACTCAGTATATATAGATTGATGTTATCTCTCAAATGCTATCTTCATTCTTCTTGGGAAGGTCACTCAGGTATTTGTTGAGCAAATGGTGGATAGTGAAATATCTTCAAGAAAACCACCGAGCTCAGAGAGCACCAAGGACTTCACAGTTCATCCCTGAGCTACAAATATTCTTTTCTATTGGTAATCAAATCTTTTTCAGCACTCTCCCTTTTTCTCATCACTCTGCTTCAGTCTCTATTGTATGACATTTACCAGTACAGAAAGAGAAGTCAGAGCCAGAGGTGTTTATGAGGAGAGTCAAATAAATCAAGGTAGAAACTGCATCTGTGCAAATCTGTAAAGGAAGGGCAGGATTTCAATTTGGTGAGCGCAGCTGCCATCTTGTTTCATGCTGGGAAAAAAATCTACTTTATTGGTTTTAGTGATGTGACACATGTTTGGTCACCAGGAGAGACATTGAGTGGGACTTGATTCAGTTTGATTCTGTCATGGTTAGAATTTGACCTAAGGGGTGTTTTTCCCCACAAACTACTGGAAGAGAATAATGAGATTAAGGCTGTTCTCAGAAACATCAATACAACCAAAATGTATGCTCTGATACATACAATAGAAACATATGGTATCCTAAGGAAACACGCAATGATTTAAAAACCATTCTCAACTGTCATTCAATAAAACTTCAGCTAAAAGCCAATTGTGAACAGTGAAAGTTATAGTATCACAGGAAGTAACCAAACACCTTTTCTTTCAGATCAATTTTACAGCAGTATAAAACATACTTTAAAAGCAATAGACAACCAATGTGTATTTAATTTCAATAAATATATGTGGGCCAATTCAGAAGAGGAAAAGAAAGTAGAAGTCTGAAAATTTTCCTTGTTCTAATAATTGTTTTCCTGCCTATGTTTCTACTGACTCTGCTATTAGTATGCCTCGTCTTCATCTGACATAAAACTCTGTAAATGGAACCTATGAATTCTCTCAAGGCAAGTACGTGAGCTGCTTCTGTCCAAGTTTAAACAGTCCTCGTATCTTTCTCATGGCTTCCCCATACTTGCTAAATAGAAAGCAGCCTGATGAAATGTTTCCAAAAATGTCATAACAATGGTACCTCAGAAATGTTTCCTGGACAATAAATAAGATTCCAGTGTAACAGAACAATTTATCTGCTGCAGCTTCCTTTGCTCTCCTTCCACAATTATTCCAATGGTGCTGTGAAGACTAAGTTCATAGAATTAAAAACAATTGTGGACTTGGAAGGGATCCTAAGATCATCTACCTTCAGCATTGTGCTGGAAACAATCCACGCAAGGTAGCTATCCAGCCCTTTCCTAAAAACTTCAAGAGGAGGAGGATGCAGCACTTCTATACCAGTGTTTCTTAACCTCAGCAACATTAAGATGCGTGGACTTAAACCAGTGGTGGGATTCAAATTTTTTTACTACCGGTTCTGTGGGCATGGCTTGGTGGGTGTGGCAGGAGAAGGTTACTGCAAAATCCCCATTCCCTCCTGATCAGCTGGGACTCGGAAGGCAGAGAATAGATGGGGGTGGGGCCAGTCAGAGGTGGTGTTTACCAGTTCTCTGAACTACTCAAAATTTCCGCTACCGGTTCTCCAGAACCGGTCAGAACCTGCTGAATACCACCTCTAACTTAAACTCCGAGAATACCCCAGCACCTTAATATTAACTGAATGCCATCTGGTATTTCTCTGTCCAGCGTAACCTAAAAGGATTGTTGTGGGAATAACACTGCAAAAGATACTCCTAAACAAAAGAAAACTGGGAAATGCCACCTTTCCAGCTGCACTGTCTGGATTTTTCACTATGCCCCTGGTTACCAAAAGATTGCTCACTTCATAACATTATGAACAATTACATCGCAATCACATAAGATTACTAGTAAGGCCGGCATGCTCCTTCAGGACTGGTCTAAAATGAAATTGACACATGTATGTTGACGATAAATATAGACTGGTATCTTAAATTACACTATAAAACATGAGAAGGGAATTTAAGCCCAATTTTTTTTAAAGGTTAGAGGATTTAAACTGATTTTAGGAACAATAACAATTTGCAAAGAGTCTGATAGTGTAGTAAAAGTATATAATTCCCCCAAGAATCTGAGGCATCTAAGCCTTGTTTTGAAGAAATTTTGGTAGCCGTTGGTAAGCAGATCCTATCAAGACCTAGAATCTTCAAAGGTTCCATGTCATCAAGCAAATATATGACTTTGTTTCTTGGTGTTGGATGATAAGGCCAAGCAACTCTATCTGTAATAGTGGTTGGCTTGAAATTTCAAATGTGAGCTTATTCCAATCATCCAGAAATATGCACAGGAGGCAAGAGAGTAATAACCACAACGACCGAAGCTGGAGAGCAAAAATCCAGAGAAGTGCTAGATGTTAGCAAAGGGATTCAAAACACCCTTGAATTCTTTGTTACCATCCAATGAATATATGGATTTCTAAATCCAGACAATCTGGTACCTCTGCACTGCGTTCCTAAATAGTGTGAGATGGCCCTGGAAAATCTATATACTGTATATAATTAAATTTACTATGCACTATTTTTTTCAACTAGCCTTCAATGATGCATACTTCATGCATTATATTATATTAAGAAATTAATAAAAAGGGAGAGCAATAATTCCCTCTGAAACTAAACTTCTGCAGAATCACTTTGGATTGCGAGATGGGCAACATATTAACAAATTTTTAAAAACGACTAAACAGAGTCTTGCTTTTTCCTCTCCATCTCCCTTCTTTCTCAACTGGAATAATTTGCTAACTAAGGTAAGATGAGTAGATGGCTTGCAGAAGAACAGGTGGCAAGAAGGGGAGGAGCTAGCATCCTCAGCCTTCCCATTTACATGTTCAACCATACTCTCATGCTCTGCTTGACATGTGGATGATGGGGTTCCACATTTGAATTTAGCAATAGCAATGGCATTTAGGTTTATATAAGGCCCCAAAAGGGGGACACGGTGGCTCAGTGGCTAAAACGCTGAGCTTGTCAATCGAAAGGTCGGCAGTTCAGCAGTTTGAATCTCTAGTGCCGCGTAACGGGGTGAGCTCCCGGTACTTGTCCCAGCTTCTGCCAACCTAGCAGTTTGAAAGCACGTTAAAAATACAAATAGAAAAATAGGGACCACCTTTGGTGGGAAGATAACAGCGTTATGTGCGCCTTTGGCATTTAGTCATGCCGGCCACATGACCACGGAGATGTCTTCGGACAGCGCTGGCTCTTCGGCTTTGAAATGGAGATGAGCACCGCCCCCTAGAGTCGGGAACGACTAGTACATATGTGTGAGGGGAACCTTTACTTTTACCTTTATGCCCCTAAAGCACCTTACAGCTCTCTCTAGGTAGTTTTTTTTTTTTAATTTGATTTATATGCCGCCCTTCTCCGGAGACTCAGGGCGGCTTACAGTGCGTTAAGCAATAGCCTTCATACTTTTGTATATTTATACAAAGTCAGCTTATTGACCCCACAAACTGGCTCCTCAATTTACCTACCTTAGAAAGGATGGAAGGCTGAGTCAACCTGGAGCCTGGCGAGATTCGATCTTACTTTAGTTGCAGAGAGCTGGTATTAAATTACAGTGCTTCTGTCTGTTGAGCTATCCAGGCTCTGGATTAGTTTACAATGAAGAAGCATTATTTGCACATTCCCCCCCCCCCACACACAATCTGGATCCTCCTTTTACTGACCTTGGAAGGCTGAGTCAACCTTGAGCCCCATCAGGATCAAACTCCAGGTTGTGGGCAGAGATATCCTGCAATACTGCATTCTAATCGCTGTGCCGCCACAGCTCTCATAGAAACTTCCTAGCACTTACGATGTTACCTAGTTGAGTAACATAATGAAATGCCTGCAAGAAAACAACCAGGCTTAGAGGACACAAAGCTATTTAACTGTGGCACTGGAAACTCAGGATAAAATAATCTTGTTACATACATTGATGACTCTTTCAGTTATATTTATCCTTAATATTTCTTCTGGGCTTTCCATTAAAGCTTAGTTGGCCAGAGTGAGAATTAGATGCTCTGTTGGCATGATTTAAAATGGCTCCCCTTCAATGTGTATTTTCATTTCATCTTATGTAAGCTTTCTCTCTACCCTAACATCGATTTAGTATTTCTGGCAGGTTCTTATCTCTCAGCACAAACACACCTCAGAACTGTTGCCAACGGAAACTAGAATAGCCACCTGCTCTTTTTTTGGGGGGGGGGGGTGAAGGATCAAACGATATCCGTATGGTATGACATTTAGCAAATAGGGCGGCTGTTTCAAATACTCATGTAATAGCAACAGTCATTAATACATGCCATATTTCAAAAACCACAGGTGCTTTCCCAACATTATTAAGTTGTTATCAAAGTAATGGATGAAACCGTCCTGTTCGATATTGTTTTACACTTCCCTTCTCTCCCCACCCCCTCCGCCCCCAGGCTTTGGAAAATTCCATGTTGCACTTTGCAGGAGTTTTCTGGAGGTACACTTGTGATATTTCAGTTCAGTTTCCACCCAATTCCAGAAGAGAATACTTTTTAAATTAATAATAATAATAATAATAATAATAATAATAATAATAATAATAATAATAAAAATAATAACAACAACAACAACAACAACAGCAACAACTTGAAAAAGTCACCAGATATCAGGACTTGAGAATTGAACTGCAGAGACTCTGGCATAAACCAGTGCAGGTGATTCCAGTGGTACTCGGCACACTGGGTGCTGTGCCTAAAGACCTAGGCAAGCACTTAAAAACAATTGGCGCTCCATTGGACAGCTGCAGAAGGCCACCTTACTGGGATCTGCTCACATAATCCGCCGATACCTCACGCAGTCCTAAACGCTTGGGAAGTGTTCGACTAGTGATTTGGGATACGAAATCCAGCATGGTCATCTCATTTGCTGTGTATACTATGTGTATATTATGTGTCATCATCATCATCATCATCATCATCATCATCATCATCATCATCATCATCATCACAATAACAACAACAACAACTTTATTGTCATTGTACATGTATACACATTATACCCATACAACGAAATTCACTTAACACCCAAAGACCAGGTCCAACACACACAACAATCCCCAAACACACTCCCACCCACCACAATTCTCCACCCCTAAACCACCCAAACATCCACACAACAGACCAAATAATTCTGTCCAACAGCTCACTGATGGTGGCCCTTTAGTTCATTGTTGAGTGCAATTACAGCTCTGGGATAAAAACTATTCAGTTTTTTTTTATATATAAGAAGTATATATATATATATATATATAAGAAGTAAGAAGTAAGTAAGAAGTTATATATTTTATATATATAAGAAGTATATATATATAAGAAGTAAGAAAATATCTATTTTCTTACTTCTTCATAGGATTTATGTGTGTTTTTCCTCTAGCCAGGTTTTTCCTACGTAGGTTACGTAGGAAAAACCTGGCTAGAGGAAAAACATACACACACACACACACACACACACATATATATAGTCAATCATCCAAGTTTATTTGTCCTCCCTGGGAAGACTAACAAGTGTCGACAAGGGAAAAAGGAGTAGAATGCAGAGTTCCAACCTGTTCCATTCAATGACTTTCTACAATGCCATTCTTGACATTCTACATTCTTTATATTCTGCAGAGCACTGAAGAAACAGTAGCCTGCATGCGCATAGTTTCCTCAACAGAATGACCTAAGCGTAGTACATAAAATTATCTGCCACAATGTCCTACCTGTCAATGACTACTTTAGCTTCAACCACAACAATACACGAGCAGACAATAGATACAAACTTAAGGTAAACAGCTCCAAACTCGATTGCAGGAAATACGACTTCAGCAACAGAGCAGTCAATGCTTGGAATACACTACTTGACTCTGTGGTTTCTTCTCCAAACCCCCATAACTTTAACCTTAGACTATCTACTGTTGACCTCACCCCATTCCTAAGGGGTCTTTAAGGGGTGTGCATAAGTGCACCAATGTGCTTACCGTCCCTGTCCTAATGTCCCTTTTTATTTGTATCCATTTCATATATTAATAACCATATCTATACCTATGTCTGTTATCTAATACATGCTTGACAAAATAAAATAAAATAAAATAAAATAAACAAACAAACAAACAAACAAACAAACAAACAAACAAATAAATAAATAAATAACTTTTCAAACCTTATTGACACAGAGCCACTAGTTAAGTTGAAGAACATGTTGCTGGTTTCACCAAAGGTGCAGCGATGAGAACCAGTTAGCAAAGTGACTTTGGTGTGGAATAAGAAGGCCACAGATCAGTGGTGGGTTTCAAAATTTTTTACTACCGGTTCTGTGGATGTGGCTTTGTGGGCGTGGCATGGGTTTGTGGGTGTGACTTTGTGGGCGTGGCAGGGGAAAGATACTGTAAAAACTCCATTCCCTCCCCAATCCAGGGGAAGGTTACTGCAAAATCCCCATTTCTTCCCGATCAGCTGGGACTTGGGAGGCAGAGAATAGATGGGGGCGGGGCCAGTCAGAATTTTTACTACCGGTTCTCTGAACTACTCAAAATTTCTACTACTGGTTCTTCAGAACTGGTCAGAACCTGCTCAAACCCACCTCTGCCACAGATACATTCTAAGTCAGTTTTTCCTCAACTTCATGAACTCTAAGCTGTGCAAACTTCAACTCCCAGATTTCTCTAGCCAGCATGTTCAGTAATCCACCAATGAGAAGATAGCTAAGCAAGGGAGCTTAGTTCAACCTTCTTCAGCCTGGGTAAATCCACATTATTTTGGTCTTTAATTTCAAGGCAATGGGCTGGAAATTCTGAAATGATACTTTTCTGAAGGATGTCCAGGTTGGGGAAATCAATATACACTATCAATATTTCATCTTCTCTGTCCAATTGAACATGGGCATCCTTTAAGTGTGTAGCATGTCTGTAAGCATTATATACATCTTGCCAGATGGCAAACAAAAAAAGAAGGAAAGAAATAGAAAGAAAGAAAAATTACAATTGGATAGGCTGCTACACTTCTAAAATGTCATTCATCAATGATGTTAACGGCTAGGATCTTCTGTTAGATAATTCAGAAAAGTGTTATTTCAGTCACTCTGTCTTTGTGTTGCATTTTTTTTTAGGGATGATAGATTTTCACTTAAATAATGTCTACGGAAGCATGTGAGATGATTTTGCCAACCATATTAGCTGGGAAAGAGATTGTCCAACACCTTCTTTCTTAACGATGATGACACCCAAATGACAAAATGTGCATCATGTCACGATGTGAATGCTGCTCTTTTGAATCAGTGTTGCAACACCGCATGCAAGTACATAAGAGGAGTAATTTGAGTAACAATGACATGATACACATCCCTACCCCCATGTGGATGCTTGTTGGAATAGTCACGTAACAGGGACACATGAGTTCCCTGCACTTATTTTGGTATCTGTTTCAGTGGATAAATCTTAGAGCCTCCTTTTTTTGGTACATAGTCTAACAGTAATGAACATAGAATAGAATAGAATGGAATGGAATGGAATGGAATGGAATGGAAGGGAAGGGAATGGAAGGGAAGGGAATGGAACGGAACGGAATGGAACGGAGTAGAAACTTTATTGTCACTTTGAATGTACACTAATTGGCATATATTAAAATTAAATTTCATTGCATACAGCTCTCAGAGGGTCATCATCTCCAATATACACTACATAACCATGTCAGAATGAATAAATAAATAAATAAATAAATAAATACATACATACATACATACATACATACATACATACATACATACATACATACATACTTATGTATATACCCACATATCAGTGGTGGAATTCAGATTTTTTTTACTACCGGTTCTGTGGGCGTGGCTTGGTGGGTGTGGCAGGGGAAGAATACTGCAAAATCTCCATTCCCACCCCACTCTGGGGGAAGTTTATTGCAAAATTGAGGTGGTATTTGCTGGTTCTCCGAACTACTCAAAATTTCTGCTACCGGTTATCCAGAACCTGTCAGAACCTGCTGAATAGCACCCCTGCCACATATATTATATGACACAGAGAAACAATACAGTCTATTTCGGATGTATATATGTACATGGCAAGAAAAACGAATCTGGTGAGTAGTGCACATGTTGCGCACAATTAAACAAGAGAACTTCCAGGAAAGATTGCCTGGTGCCACCACATGCAAGACTTGGCCCTACTCAGTTTATCCCATTTCTCCAACTCTTTACCTGAAAGTAGTTGAAAGTAGTCTCTCAAGTTAAGAAATCACCATTTTAGATCAGCCTTGTATGCATGGTTCTAGATTTCCGCACAGAAACTTCATTGGAAGGAGAAGATGCATACATCTTCTCTTTCCACTTCATGTACAGCCCTTGGTTGAAGATTAGAAGGCCAAACATTACTTTCTTAGCAGGAATATACACTTTAACATCTGTACTGAAAATAGAACTGTTGGAATGAGATCTTTATTTACATCACTAGCAGTTAACATAGAAGCAGAATATTTGTTAAATCAGTTAAGGGAATTTTAAAGTTACTCTTTCAGGATTTCACTCCATTTCAGAGAGTGGTCTAACTGTAAGGTCCTTGAAGCTTTCTGAGCTTGATTGCTTTCCTGCAGATGTTTCATTACCCAACTAAGTAACATTATCAGCGCTCAATGGCCAAACTGTGGATGGCAGATTTGATAGTCATTCACCTCCTCTTTTATGAACAGTCTCTTGAAAACCCTGTCTTCTGCAAGGAACTCTGCGCATATTGGTAGCCAGAGAGATTCTTGAGAAGTTGAAACATAAATGCAATACAACTAATATCAATATAAATTAATAATTTATAGCTTGCCAAAATTGCCAATGGGAGTCCCACCAGAAGGCTTGTTATTAGGTATTTAACACCAAAGAATATAAAATAGAATGTTCTTTATTGGCCAAGTGTGATTGGCCAATAAAGTATATATAAACATAAAGTATATTTATGAATGAATTTATATTCCAAAAAACCTCTTGAGAAAATGAATGAGGAGATGAAAGCATAGGGTAAACTTATGAATAACTAAGACCACATGACATTGGTTCAGACTGAAAATTGGAATCCCTTGGTCTTCAGTTTAGAACAGTTTAGCTAGTTACTTCATCTTGTAATACAAAGAAGGATTGGCACCTGCTGTTCTTTCTTTCTTGGACTCATCCTATAGGAATATGAGAAGCGAAATGATTACTATAATAAGAATGTGGGACGGGACAGGAACAGGTGGTTGTGCTTGTCAAATAATCTGCACAGAACCTGGAATTTGGAAGCTCGTTTGTCAAAAGATTAAGACTTCTTGAGCCTAAAGAATATTGAGAATTCCAGGCAACCTGGAATTCTGTCTCTCTTTCTCCCTGTCTCTTTTTCTGGTTGCTTTGCGGATCAATATGTACTGGATGCTTTGAAGCAGAATCAACTTTCTGGGAAAAAATATATAGAGAGCTATCCTCCCCGATTCAGAATTCTTGACATTCTTATAACCAAATCAGAACAGGATCTGAAAATATGAAAATCTAAACATATTCTCGCCTTCTCACCCCCAATACCTAAATAACCTCAACTGAATTCTGCTCATCAGCTTAACTCCACTTAAATAGGAAGCCTGTGACATCACTGCTTATGTTGCCAATGCTCTCCTCCCTCAGACTACTTTAGTTCCAGCAGAAGAATTCTTACCCAGACAGAACTGGACGATGAGAAGAAGCTGAGAGGTTCTGGGCATCACACTCTGGTGCTCCATCCACCTTCTGCAGGTAGAGCATAGATGCATTTGATATGCCTAGATTTTATTTCTTCTTCAAAGAAAAAAAGAAAACTAACATCCCTGAGGTTTAAAGCTATAGGAACTTCTGGCTTTCCCATTGTATTTGTGTAGCCAGAAAACTTTTCATGATGTATATAGTATTGGCATTCTTTGTTTCTTATTAAGGTACTATTACTAATCATTGGACATAATGCTTGATAATAAGGACATAGGATTATTCATATATATATATTTGAAATGGAGGTTGGATATATTTGGATACAGGGAAGCTGGATCGATCAGGACCACTGGTTGGATCTGATGGGACAAGGTCACTAGAATTCTGCTATTGCAAGGCCAGGCAGGTTTACCTTTCACAGAACTAGTTTAACATAGAAGCTGAATAATAATCTGAACGTCTGAAGAATATGAATGCAAACTTAGCTTGTTGGGGGACCAACTCAGGAGCTTTAGGCAAGCTACCATCTCTCAACTCAAGACTTTTGTAGAAGAGAAAACATTAGCTAAGGTTAAGTCAGTAAAGATTCTCAAACATCCAAGTAGAGATGTCTGGAAGTTGAGTCTGTCCAGGTAGAGACGTCTGAACTTCTTGTCTTGTTGGTTCTAAATGTTTGACTCCTTATCCAAGTAGTTTCTTCAGTCTGAGCAAATTGGTCAGGGAGAAAACCAACCAACATGCTACTTGGATTGAAGAATGAAATATTTTGAACCAACAAGAAAAGAGGTCCAGTTGCCATGGCTCAGCTTCCAAACATTAGTCAGTGATGTCCCGTATAAGAGTCTCAAGCATTACTATGGACGTTATGCTTTTCAAATGTTTAGTATGTTTACAGTTTTGTGTTTTGCTCCCCACTTAATAGTATTAACATAAAACATCCTATTATAATATTTTGTCAAGTTAACCTGTAGCTGGCAAATACCTTAGCTGTGTATCCTTTCCTGGATAAATGGATCATGGACCCCTTAGAAAGGGCTATGAAAACACTATGAAGCAATATATAAGTCTAAGTGCTATTGCTATCAGCCCCTGTAAAATTAGTGTAGGAATTCGGTGGAACTTAGTCTTTTCATTTATGGATCATGTAGAAAATTTGAAAATTTAAATACAGAAATCAAATTCAATACCACCTAACAAAATGAAAGTATTTGATGCTCAGGTTATTTTATAAGATGTTCTTGTAAAACCTCTTAATATTCTTTAGTTCCGAAAATAAATGGACTAAACTACTATTAGGGCAAAAAAGTATGGAAAAAAAACATTCACATAATTGCAGACTATCTAACAAGTTTCTCTTAAACCTGTTTTTTTAAAATATGGCACTATGGATTTTTTTTTTTTTTTGCTTCCTGCAGATATAGAGCTGTAGTGCTGCATGCAAATAATAAATGTATTAAATAAATATAATATATAAACGCAAAAAATAATAAATAAATATGGAACTGTGATCCTCAAATATCAGGAAAGTACCACATTGGGAATGCTATGTATTGACAGGGTATTAATCAGTTAGTGAATCTTGCATAATAGCTATGCTATTTTTAAGAATTATTCTTTTATATGTCTTTATATGGTGCAGAAAGCATACCACAAAAAGGGCAAAGGAGAGGGAGGGAGAAAGAATATAAAATTATTTTCTTAACTACATAAAAGATTACAACTTTTCCAAATAATGGAAATGACAGTTCTTTCCAAGATAGATTTCTAACACAGATTTATGAAGGGAGTCAAAAGAGAGAATGCAATCACTGCACTAATTTACATCCAATCAAGAAATCTATATGAACGATGGCATGAAATTTAATGCTGCCTATTTTGCCTTGATTAAAGTCCTTTGCAGACACTTCTATGCATATAAAATATTCACTGTCTTATATACCTAAAAAGCTTAGTGTGTGCTGCAAATTTGGGCCAAAAAAAATATGAAAAGTAAGGCTACCATTCGATCACCTAGAATTTAACTGTACCTTAAAGCAAAACTGACATAAGATGATTAAATCAGCACTGTAGGTAAGAGAACCAACAAAGATCCTCTAATTTAAAGGCTATCTTGTTGCAAGACTGCTGGCTTTTTCCAGCATCAGTTTCTGTTATTAACTGAGCAGAGTTCTTTAGACCAAGATGCTTGGAAAAAACCCAATATGCATGGAATTCTCTTACATCAAGAGCAAGGGTGGGATTATTATCCATTTCATTCTACATTCTGAGAGGGTTACTGGGATCACGGCAGCAATTTGATCAATGTAGGGAAGGATCAGAATTACTTCTCTCTCTTTTTTTTTCATTTGGGAATTATGGTTATATTTTGGTTCATGTCAATAGTGCAGTGGATGGAAGCGTAGTCTTTGAAGACTATTCAATCTCCCCAGTTGTCCTTCCCTAGGAAGGAAGGAAGGAAGGAAGGAAGGAAGGAAGGAAGGAAGGAAGGAAGGAAGGAAGGAAGGAAGGAAGGCCTATGAAGGAAGAAAGGGAAGGAGATAGGAGTTCTACCTATACCTGGCAGGACCTTTCCAAGGTAGTCCAGAAATCCTGGATTCCTAGCCATGACATTGCCAATATTCTGAACATTGTCTGTTCTCACTTCTTTGGAGGATATCAGATAGGGGAAGATGGACTTTTAAGATTTCAGTGCAGTACCTTCATGACTTTGACACTTTTTAAAAGAAATTAACTTCAGATATGTAAGTCTCCAGCATCTGCAGACTTGAACTGGATCTGCATCTGCATATTCAGTAACATTTGTGGTCAAGATCATAAACCCAAACCCAGATCTATACAGTTGCTAAGGAAAATGATTATGGGATGAAAATCTTTTCTTGTCTTATGAAATGTCTGTTTATCACTTGATAGGCTTTTAAAAGTAGCGCTATCCTTTATGCATTTGCATAAGCCACAGTGGCGCAGTGGTTAGAATGCAGTACTGCAGGCTAATTCTGCTGACTGCCGGCTGTCTGCAATTTGGCAGTTTGAATCTCACCAGGCTCAAGGTTGACTCAGCCTTCCATCCTTCCGAGGTTGGTAAAATGAGGACCCAAATTGTTGGGGGCAATAGGCTGACTCTCTAAACTGCTTAGAGAGGACTGTAAAGCACTGTAAAGCGGCATATAAGTCTAAATGCTATTGCTATTGCTGTTAAGAATAAGTTCTATTTAAGTGCAATTAGACTTATTCTTAGGGAAGTGAACATTAGGATGCAGTCTAATACTTCCAGTAGAAATGTGTGCATCAGGGGCGGGTTCTACTTACCTTTACTACCGGTTCGCAATGGGCTTGCGTGCTTCTGAGTATGTGCAGATCATTCATTATGACGTCTGGGCAGGTGGGCGGAGCCTCCCACCACTTTTACTACCGGTTTGAAAGAACCGGACAGAACCAGGAGCAACCCACCACTGGTGTGCATGCTTGCTCAAAAATAAGGCCCTTTGTAGTCAGGCAGTTAGGAACTGAATTGTGGTCTTATTAGAAACATCCTGTTGGTTTCCTTGGAAGGAGACCTTCCATAATATATGCTCTCATTCTCTCCAATTTAATTAATCTGAGTGTCTGTAACTTCCACATCTGAGGAAAGAAAAAAAAATGGCCCAGATCTCAGTAAATCTTAAATCTCATGAGAGTTTTGCATTCCCACACAACTGTTGTGATGCACTGAAATCATATGCAGTTCTGTTGTTCTCAAGAGATCACATGAGCTTTTTGTTTTGTTTTTTGTTTTGTTTTGTTTTTTGCTTTAATTTATATGCTGCCCTTCTCCGGCTGTAAGCTGCGGCTTACAATGCGTTAAGCAATAGCCTTCATACTTTTGTATATTTATACAAAGTCAGTTTATTGCCCCCACAATCTGGGTTGAGATTGATGGGGAGGGATTTGCGCAGGAAAAGGGATGATGCAATAGTGAAGACTTCTACGCAGAAGTGAAGTCCCCTTCTCTAATGCTACACATTGTTTTATTATAAAGCTCATTTGCTTCAATGGAAGCAGGCTACTATATTTTCTAATAGCGTTGCTCGACGGCTTGGTAATGGATTCTAGTTTCATTTTGTATGAACCTTGAACTTTCTAGTGCTGGATTCACACCCTTGAAAAGAACTGACCTTGCAGAAAAGCAAGGAGGGAAAGAAATGTTAATCTTCAGATTTATCTCCCCTCTTACAATAAAGAATAAAAACTCAATCGATAACTTCTCAGCATCCCTAGATGCTCAGCTTCAGTATCCTTATTTTCAGTATCGTTATCTGAATTACTGTTTTGGATTGCTGTTTTGTGTTCTGTTATGCTTGCATATTGGTTTTATTATATTCTATTTGTGTGCGCACAGTTTTATCTGGGCTTCCCCCACCCCACCCCCCCCACCCCCGCTGCCCTGGAGTCCTCTAGATAGAGGGTGACTAAGAAATACTTTTAATTACTCCAGTGCAAACCATTTATAGCCCTGGCTATGCATACAGATGGATTAGATGTCTAGGTAATTTCAGCTTGGTAGTGTCTATACAAGGTTCATGTGTTCAGATTAGATCCCATCACAATACATTTGATACTACTACCTTTTTAATCACAGTGTTTAACACAGAGACATCCTATTGACTGGGAAATCTGAGAGTCAAAATCCATTAATACAACGGGCAACAGTTTGGAGATGGTAGGTCCAACCTTATGGAGAGATACTTGCAACTTTTTCCTGTGTGCCGGAATTAACATAATAATAGAATGACAGAGTTGAAAGGGACCTTGGAGGTCTTCTAGTCCAACCTACCACAGGAAACCCTATAGGAAACCCTATATCTATGATGGCGAACCTATGGCACGCATGCCACAGGTGGCACACATAATCATATTATTGAGCACACCAGCTCAGCTCACTAGGAGTCTCTGGAGGCTGGAGACAGCAAAAAATGTCACTTCCTGTCCAACCGGCAGTTGGGAAATGGGCTGTTTCAGGCCTCCAGAGGGCCTCTGAAGGGATGGGGAAGGCTGTTTTTGCCCTTCCCAGATGCACAGAGAGCATCTGGAGCCAGGTGAGAAAGAAAAACAGGCCTACTGGGCCATCACGTACCAGGAGAGGGGGGGAGGGGGAGTTGCGCACACATGTGCAGGGCGGGGTGCATAGAATTATGGGTGTGGGCACGCATGCACGTGAACTTCCCCTGTCTCCCCTCCTGGCACGCAATGGCAAAAAGGTTAGCCATCACTGCCCTACATCGTTTCAGACAAATGGTTATCCAACATCTTCTTAAAAACCTCCAGTATTGGAGCAACCACAATTTCTGGAGGCAAGTTGTTCTACTGATTAATTGTTCTGTCAGGAAATTTCTTCTTCTTCTAGGTTGCTTCTCTCCTTGATTAGCTTCCATCCTTTGTTTCTTGTCCTGCCTTCAGGTGCTTTGGATAATAGATTGACACCCTCTTCTTTGTGTTGTCTCCTCTATTTTCCAAAATGTCTCAGGAAAGTTGCAAGTATTGATGGTAACACTTTGCTACCACATCAACAAAGTACTAAAGGTGATGCATTGTGGATCTTAAGTATGTTAAACCTTTGAGTTATCAATTTCATTACCTAAGACATCTCTGTCTTTTCGTTTGGCAAATATTTACATGTAGTTGGATCCCATTTTGTCCTAAAAAATGTCAAAACTGAGGAAATATGTGGCATTGGATTATGACATGCCTTGTCATCTTTCTAATCTCAAGGAAGAGGCTGGACAAGTCTTTCTACATGGTTCACTTGATTTCTTGTTTGAAATTTCATCAATTTGATGTAATGTCACTCATTTCAAAAGCACTTCAGTAGGGCAATAAGAAAATATGAAATGAGATTAACGTCCATGTTGTTTTCTTGGCAACAATACAGAAATGGTTTTCAACCACTCAGTCTATTAGATTTTCTGCTGGTCTGTCATTCATTAGATTTGTCACTGCCTTGGTGTTTGAAGTTAGCCAAGGTCAATTAGGTATTTCAATTTAATTATGTTTTTATGAAACATTTTTGAGAAAGGAAAAAAGAGGCAAGAAAGGGCAGTTAAACACTAAATAAATAGAGAATTTACAGGTAACATGGAATTAGGTGAGAATGCTCAATATTTCATCGGTTTTAAAGAAATATACTGCATGGAAAAAATTGCAGATAGTTGTTAAAATCTAACCCATATATAAATATCAACTACGATAATCAGCACTATATAAATCAAACAATGAGATTAGGGGTAACAGAATTTCTATCCAAAGTGCTGAAGATCTATTCTCATTTAGCTTATCACTGAAGATACAAGGATAGTAAGATTTTATGTTAAGAGAAATCCAACTTTCATACGAGGTACAAGCCCATTATAGAATTCTAATTCCAAAATGGGTTAGGTATTCCAATCTGCTGTTAAACAATAGTAAAAGTCAATGGTCAAACTGATATTTTACAAATGATCTTGGACAAACCTGCCAATAAAACGGGGAGGGGGGGAGGGAAACCCTATTAGTATTTGGCAATATTTGGTTAGAAACAGCGGAAGAAAAGAGATGCTTAAAATCTATTGTTAAACCATTTATGATAACCTTTTGTCCTGAAATGCTATTACTGACAACTATTGAAATATATTAAATATTGCATACAATATGTAATCTTCAATACAATTAAGTAATTAATTGTAAATTAATTTTAACATTAATGTTAAAATAGTTGTTGAACAAATAGTGCCATGAAACAGGTGCCTTTCTTGCCTATCTTTTGCATAATATTTAAATATTTTTATTCATATAAAAAAAAATTCTTCCAATTTTTAGATGTATTGTGTAAGGGAGAAACCAATATCCCACCATTCCTGGATCTTTCTACCTCAAGGATGGATCAAAAATAGATCAAAATCAAGAGTAGATATGTGGGTAAATGTGAAATAGAATAGAATTGTAACCAGCAATAGACTATCACACCCAAAAACTACACAGTTTTCATCTTCAGAACAGAATTCCTAGAGTCGAGCATCTAATAAAAACTTGTCTTTTACATTAGGGTAGATATTTCTAGATCTTGAGTTCCAGTAAAACAGACTAACAATACACATATCCAAAATATGACCAAATTTCAATGATTTTCTTCCAAGAAAGAAACTCACACCATAGTACAAAATCAGGATTCAAGTGGAAAGTGGGCATCTCCACATCTCAATAGAAATCACATTAAAGGCAAACTAATTCTAGTATTTGCTCGTTGAGAACCAGTTTCATACAATGGTTAGGGCACCCAGCTGGAAACCAGGAGAGGACTATGAGTTCTAGTCCCATTTTAGGCACAAAACCAGCTTAGTGATTTGGGCCAGTCACTCTCTCAGCTGTAGAAGAAGAAAATGGCAAACTATTTCTGAAATCTTGCCAAGAAAACTGTTGCTACTTATCCAGGCAGTCGTCGAGAGTCAACAATGAATTGAAGGCATGCATAGACACACAGACACACAGATACACGTATGTTCTAGTATTTGGATAAGCACAAGGCATTAACCATGATATACTTTTGAAACAGCTGAAGATGAGTCTCAAAATGCATGGAAGGAAGCCTGTGCTTCCCTTTCATTTTAATGTGATAAGAATGTAATAACTAATAACTTTGCTCCAAGATACATGTACAAAACCATAAAAAAACAAAAAATAATTGGAAATCTAAATAGCATTCTCACGAAGGCCATGTGTGTTGAGGCGGTTGGGTGATGTCGACAAGAAGGCTTGTGGCTTGATAGAAACTGAAGAAGGTGATAAGCTGTTGGAGATATCTTCGGCCTTTTTTTAATATCTCTTGCTTGCATAAAGGTTAGCAATAGAAATAACATTTACTTATGCTAGTTGTATTATAAATAGGCCTGGAGAATGCTTGTGATACTCACACCTCTAGTTTTGTTGGGATCTTTCTTGTTCTTTAGGTGAGGACAAGGTGGTCACAAGGACAAAGGGAAACAAGAGCTTCCATATCCTGTTCACCCCCACAGACGAAGTTTCTCCTTTACGTTGATTCTTCCTGACCATGGATAGATCCACGCAAGAGCTTTTCCTCAACTTTATGATAGTTCTGATAACAGTACTGCTCATGTGGCTTCTGGTGAAGTCTTATCAAGACTGAAAGACTCATACTCCTGGAATCATGGAAGGATCTGCTTCTGGTGAAGGATGAGGATGCTACTCCTCAGAAGTGCTTCTCGGTGTGCTCCAAGTTTTAATGTAGAAAAAAATGTAATGCATTTTTTAAAAAATCAAAATACCTCATTTATATGTATCTAACAATTCAGCTGGATTTAAGAAGGTGTACATTAATTTCTCTTCAAAGCACGGCATAAACGCTCTTTTAGCTGAATTTCTTTTCGTAAATGATGGGTGTATCTCACTTAGAATCACGATAGTAACTACAAACATGACAACTCATTAATGCATTAACTTATCGTGACTTCGACACTCATGAAGGCTTCATTGTTTCAGTTTTATGTAATCAGTTAGTGGACATATGCTGCTCTACCATTGTTATCATTTGGATAAAAAATAACATTTGATGCGCTTCCTGTTCTTTTTAATTGTCTTCTTGATTTTGCCTTTGTAAGCAAGCCTTTTCTTACAGGATAATAGAATGTTATTGTATTGCAAGAACACTAAATTCAGATCTTTAAATATTGTTGCATGCATTCTAATTCAGCAGTATATAAAAGCAGGAATTTGATAAAACACCAATATTACTGATACACCTAGATCAGGAATGGATCAAGACACAGAGTTTTGATAGGACAACAGGTTGAAACATGAATCTTAAATGTCTGGAGGTACTATGCCTGGAGGTACCATGAATCTGAAGCCTTCAACCATGCATATCAATGAGCTATGTCACTTTCCCCCCCAAAACATAAATACATAAACATAAAAACCTTGCAATTGTAGAGTCCCAGAATAGGATCTGGAGAAAGGATCTTACAAAGGCAGAAGAAGGTCATATGGCTTAAATATGATGTGTAGAACCCATTTAACATACAATCTAGTTTCTTAATTATGCACAGAAATATATCAAATAAATATACTGTATATATCTTCTCAGAGGTTTTTCCCCTTGGGACTTAATTCTGGAAGAAATCTCATTACATTCATTGAGACTTTATCCACAGATAAATGGGCATTAGGTTGAATTCCCTGTAGACTTTTTTTCTAGACCAGACTAGATTTCTCATTTCTCCTGTTGTCCAGAAATGGACTTCATCTTTTAAAACCCTAACTGAAACATAAAACAAATATGATGCGTACCATTCATCCTCAAATACGTCATCATTTTCCTGCTTTTGTCACATTGGATAATGTAGTTTTTAAGTCTTGAGGGGGTCTCATCCAAAACTTTCAGAGCTGTATGTGGTCCTGGGGCTGTCCAACTTGCAGGTCACTAACTCCACTTCTACCCCTACCGTTAGAGGACCCATTGTATCCTCTCAGGCTTTTTGTCGCATACACATTGCCAAGCATTAGTGCATACCACACCTTCCATTCCAGCAAGGTAACCTTAGAAGCTGGTCAACGAAGTTGACTTATGCTAAAAGAGAGATTATACATAGCCTTGACATTTAGCATCTTCAATCAAAAGAAGCAACAACTATTGCACTAATTTGCAAATTTCTCTTCCACTTTGGGGCTAGTTGCTGACACAATAGAAGCACCATACAGAGAACAAGTAATTTATTATTTTTTCACAGCTGTGAATTTCCTGCCACTGAATACAGAGGCATCCCAGTTTTAGATATCATGCTTCTCCTGGTATCTATCCCACTTGAATATGTGTGTCATCACATATTCACAGATCTCCACCCCAACTTAAAAATACTCCCCCACCTCTTGGGAATATACATATGAAACCAATGCTTTAGTACTTCAGCAGCTGTTGGGCTAGATTTCTCCCCTTCGCTCAAGTATGGAGCCGTGGAGAGTGCTTGAGAGATACTTCTCATTGATTCAAAGGCCATGTTTAAAGACAAGCAGAAAATATGACTCAGCTGCTTGACACACATCTCAGAAGCCAGGGGAAATCCCATCCCATGAGACAGACAGTCATAGGACACTTTAGGCTTAAGCAAAAAAGCTAATGACAAGCAGAAATACTATTTTTCCTCTAGCTAATTTTTTTTCTTTGCTTTCTAATGGTGAAAAGAAACAGGGCGTTTCAAGAAATACAAACTTAAGCTTCTTTTAAAATATCATTTTCTTATCCTCTTTATTATATTCTTTCTAATATCTTAAGACAGTGAACATACATCATACTATTTCCTCCTCCTATTTTTCTTCAACCACCCTGTGATTTGGGCTGGGCTGAGACAGAAGGACTGGCCCAAAGTCACCCAGCTGATTTCCATGTCTAAAGTGGAACTAGAATTCCCTGTCTCCTGGTTTTCTAGGCTGGCCAGCACCTTAACCGCTTCACTGGACTGGCTCCCTATATAAAATATAGTTAGCTATATTTTATCTTTTAAAAGGTCCATTTTGAACAGGAGTGGGAAATTCTTGATGAATAGAAAAGAAAAATGTACACTGGAGCCAGTGGTGAGTTTCAAATTTTTTTACTACCGGTTCTGTGTATATGACTTGGTGGGCGTGGCATGGCTTGGTGGGCGTGGCTTGGTGGGGAAGTATACTGTAAACTCTCCATTCCCACCCCACTCTAGGGGAAAGATACTGTAAAATCTTCATTCCCTCCCCAATCCAGGGGAAAGTTACTGCAAAATCCCCATTTCTTCCCGATCAGCTGGGACTTGGAGAGAATAGATGGGGGTGGAGCCAGTCAGAATTTTTACTACCGGTTCTTCAAACTACTCAAAATTTCTGCTACCGGTTCTCCAGAACTGGTCAGAACCTGCTGAAACCCACCTCTGACTGGAGCTGACCTCTACTGCTCTACAAAATTTATTTGGTAAAAATATGGAATGCCTTTTTCTGGAATTTGTTTTTGTTTCTACTGGAAAGAAACGAAACTACATTGGCCAGTCAAGATCAACTACGAGGCGTCTATCATTTTACCATTTCCCATAATTTTTGAAATTCCAACTTGGTTCCCCATCCAAGTTCTAACCAGGAACTTTGTTGCTTAGCTTCAAGGATCAGCTAGATGCTACTTCCTGCAGATGACACCATATTTAATATATTGGAGGAGGTGGGGTGCTGTATCATTTCTTTTAAAGCGATGCCAAGCCTTATACTTTTAAGTAACTTATCATTTGTCGGTATTTTTCCATCTGAAATGATGGGAAAATCAGCCATTCAGCTTTAATGGCTGGGATTGGAAGAGGTGCAGTGGACATGCCAATTGACCTCAATGCTCAAACTGCCTATAGTGTCTTAGAATTTCTGCAAATTCAATATCGCAATAATAAAGAATACAGACATGAAACGGGGACTTTCTCTACACTACATTGCTTGGTAATCCTTAAAGATAACAAAATCCCATCCACCCCAGTGGTGGTAAAATTCTTTACTACCAATTCTGGTAGTAAACTGGTAGTAAAATTCTTTACTACCAGTTCTGTGGGAGTGGTTTGGTGGGTGTGGCATGGTTTGGTGGGCATGTCTTGGTGGGCGTGGCAGGGGAAGGATACTGTAAAATCTTCATTCCTACCCCACTCTAGGGGAAGGTTACTGCAAAATCCCCGTTTCCTCCTGATCAGTTGGGACTCGGGAGGCAGAGAATAGATGGGGGCGAGGCCAGTCAGAATTTTTACTACCAGTTCTCCGTACTACTCAAAATTTCTGCTACCGATTCTCCAGAAGTGGTCAGAACCTGCTGAAACCCACCTCTGATCCACCCCCAATAAGGAAAGACTGGGAGGACTTTGTAAGGCATGACTTGTTTTTACCTTGAAAGGACAGTGAAGAAGAGATGAAGCTTGACAAATAAATATCGGTACATCTCCAAAATGTGTCCCTTGAAGACTCAGTAAATCATTCTTCACTTTAGCAGCTGTGATGGGTCAGCTTTGCCTTAGGTTAACTTTAGTATATTTTTCAGAGCCATTCAGCACGGGTCAAGGATACAAGCCAGCCAGCTCTTTCTCTACAGCTTCAAATATTTTTTATCTTCAGGAATTTCAGGAGGCAAAAATCTTCACACAGGCTTAGTTTGTCTTCCTCATCCTCATGTATTCATATTAATCATTTCCACTGAGAAATAAGTCACAAAAGGGCTCAGTTCTAAGTAAATATGGCATGTTATAACTGGAAGGAGCTGGTTGGGCTGAAGACATGCACTATTACCACTTGATGATTCATAGATAAATGAATGAACAGCCTCTGCAAGGGCATATCATAGCTGAAGTGACCTTGGTGATATGAAAGTTTTTTCTATGCACCTAATTCTTCAACAGTTCATTTTCAGGTTGTTGTAATTGTCAAGGTCCATCTAAAATTCTTGGTTTAGAGCAGGGGTGTCCAACTTGATTTCATTGAGGGCCTCATCAGGGTTGTGTTTGACCTCAGGGGGCCAGGGTGGGTGTAGCCAAGGTGGCCAGCCCAACATCACTCGTGTTGGGGGCGCCTGTGGTGACCCGAGCATCTGCCAGGGAAAACTGGCTCCTGAGCTCCATTTTCAGTTCAATGGCCTCCTGCAACCCTTTGCCAGTGAAAACGGAACTTGTAGAGCTCTGTTTTCACTGGCAGAGGCATTGCAAGCCAGTTCTTCGCTGTTTCCAGGGCAGCCCCGTGGGCCAGATCTAAGAACCCTGTGGGCCGTATCCGGCCCTTGGGCCTTGAGTTTGACACCCCTGGTTTAGAGCATGGTTCACATTTGGAAAAGCAAGAACTTCAAAGATGGAGGGATGACGTAAATAGTCCTTGTTAGGATTTTTCTTTATTCATTTTTTTCCTTCCTTCTTTCATTTTATTTAAAACTGTGCTAAATGAACAATTTTCAAGTGCTTCTTGCAAAACAACAAGAAAACATGATTTGGCCATGCAAACAGATTTTTCAAAATGTTTCTGCTGATAACATCTTGATGGTTCCCATACCATTAAGTCTCTCCATGAGTTTCAAGATCTTTCAGCTACTAAGTTTTTTTCAATTTTGCAATGCAGGGCATTATGTAAGTTAACTTTCTTCTTACCTTGTGAGTCAAAATCCAGAAGAATGGCGAGGAACAGAACTACTTGAGCACCATGGGTTATAGCAAATTCAGAGATCAAGATGATATAGGGAAAAAAATTACCTTGGATATCCCTAAAAGTATTACATAAATTATGACTTGCTTTCTGCCTTAGAGGTACTTATTCTGTATGTCAGTCCAGCCCTTTGAATCTATCTTTCAATGCTTAGCATCAATTATGCTATTTGTGGTGATGTTTGAACCACTCACTTCACTGCCACTTAAATCCTAAAGATGCAAAGGGTTGTGGTTTTCAAGTGCTCTAACAACTTGCTAGTGCCTGGCAACCGTATCGTATAAGAGGGATTCCCCAGATGTTTAATCCTTACAGAGAACTGAGATATCCCTGTATCAGACTCTGTTCCAGTTGGACTAAGGACCAGCAAGAGACTAGATCAGAGGTGGTATTCAGCTGGTTCGGACTTGTTCGCTTGAAATTGCTGTTGGGCCCGCCCACCTGCCCCGCCTTCATGCCATCCTATTTAGGCACATTTTTGAGGCCGGGTGCATACGCAGAAGGTGCGTGCGCTAGCAAAACACATGCACGGAAGGCCAGGTGTATGCGTGGACGGGGCACATACACTCACATTTGTGAACCGGTAAGGAAAGTAATTGAATACCACTCCTGGACTAGACGGGGTGTTTCCAGACAGAAGACTATTTTGCATCTACATCAATCTTCATTGATTTTTGTCCCTAGATTTAAAAAGTGGGAAAAGTGTAGCAGGAAGATTTATTTATTTAATACATTGTAATCCAGAGAATATAGGTCCGCTATACCACATCCGAGCTATAAAATGGGACAAGGATTAGATGGAAGGACAAAAGAAAAACTCTCTTTGCTGTCATTCAGAAGAGTTCCTTTTGCCTTTAGGAACATCCTACAAACTCTGAAATGAGACACATTAAAGTGGGTTCCCCAAATTTGGGGGTGGATTTAAGATCAGCTATAAATCTGGATTCTACCATATCAGTAGGAAAGAAATTACACACCATTTCTTCTTAGTGAACGGAATTGAGTAAGATGGCATCGTTCTTCTTCTTCTTCTTCTTTTTAATTTGATTTATATGTCGCCCTTCTCCGGAGACGCAGGGCAGCTTACAATGCACTAAGCAATAGCCTTCATTCTTTTGTATATTTATACAAAATCAGCTTATTGCCCCCACAACTGGGTCCTCAATTTACCTACCTTAGAAAGGATGGAAGGCTGAGTCAACCTTGAGCCTTGGCGAGATTCGAACCTGCAGTAATTGCAGGCAGCTGGTCTTAATAACCAGCTTAATAACAGGGTGCCTTAGACCACTGTACTACCAAGGCTCTTCTTCCAAATCCTTCTCTTGAAAATACCTGAGCAGTAACACTTAGCATTGCTTCATTTTAAATAATGAACCCCAGACACTTTTCCTGTTTGGAATGATATCGTTTTATTCATATAATTCACAAATAATTAGGCAATACCTCAAATTCAATCTTGCTATGTAAGCAATTTCATAACCTACCCTATAACAGTCAGAAGGTTTTTTTAAAAAAATCATGGTACAATATGAAATACCATGGTAAATACAACTGAGTGTAGATTACCCAGGGTGTCAAAGGGAGCTGAGGACAACCGAAATGGATCTGTTCCTCTGAAATCCCACTTTAAAAAATAAAATAAAATGAATATTTGCATGAGCTTCATGAAAAAGGTAATGCATCTGCCAGTCATTTCAGTACAATTTTATGAAGATGTTCTATACAGAATGTGCACATTTTCTTCCCTTGAATCACTTTATTTGCTTAATAACCAGTCACATTTGCTCCTTTCAGGCAAATCTTTGTTAATTCCTTTCAGCTAGGTAGAGAACAAAGCTGATAATCCAAGCCCCAAATTCAATCATTGAAAAATGAAGAAAATATAGCTTTGTCCCATTAAAGCAGGGGTCTCCAACCTTGGCAACTTTAAGCCTGAAGGACTTCAACTCTCACAATTCCCCTGCCAGCAAAGCTCTCCAGGCTTAAAGTTGCCAAGGTTGGAGACCCCTGCCTTAAAGCAATCAAAAACACACTCACACACAATCCTATTGCAATCAGACATGCAGAAATACAACCAGTGAATTCTGCACTTTCAAAGTTTAGCTGAATATTGTGAGCATAGTCCAGTATAAACCATCAAGGAATAAATCTCCTCGGTTCTCCCTCTCCAAAAAGATTCCTTTTTTATAAGCATGGTGGTTGGAGATGAGAAGAACCTCTGAGGAGAAGAACAGTCCAGCCCATATGAAGGTCATCAAGTTACATAACGTTGCTGGTGACATGCTTACATCCACGAATTCTTATCAAATTAATTCATTCCCTCAAATTCATTCAACCTCCCTGCCATCGTAGCCTCATTATAAATTCTTTATGTATGATAAAATTATTCACACATTTTTTTAATTACAAATCTTACTATTGTTTTTTTTTTTTTGTCATGAAGCATGCACATCTGCATGAGGGAGAAATCGTTACATTTAATGTATTTTGTCAAGATTAGGCTGAAGTCATGTACACTGCCTTCTAAATAATATTCAAATGCGTGAGAGCAGTTTAATGCAAGCATTTTTCAGTCCCTTTCACTTCAGTGCCATTCAGTTCAACAGGACTGAAAAAAGTTGACTTACAACTCATTTTCTTTAAGAAAACCGTTATCATAAAACAAAATGAATAAGTTAAAACGTATTCACAGTACAAGTTTCCAACTAAACTATTCTGTCTATATAAACAAAACAAAAAAAATCCCCTACCCAGCTACAGAAATACAGTTCTTTAATTAAATGAAATATGCAGTAGCAAAGGGAAGAGGCAAGAACCTAAAAAGTGTGTCCCAATCATGGCAGCTTTCAGATGTCTGAACTCCAACTCCCAGAATTCCCCAGGCGGAAGGGGCTGGCTGGGGAATTCTGGGTGTTGAAGTTCACACATCTGAAAGCTGCCAAGATTGAGATACATTGGCTTAAAAGAAAGGAAAGAAACACAGGACATCAATTCAAAATGTTTAACACTGCAAGATATTGCAATATGAGCTCTCTCTGACAGTGACCAGACTCTCCATCAGAGCAGTGGGAGGCGGTTCCTGAAAGAGAGCGCGAGAAATGAATACTGCATCAAGAAGCAGGCATGCACTTGCCGTGATCATTCAATGCATTCAGCGATTTATCTCTAGATGGTGGCATAACACAAGAACCAGGCAGTGTTTCCAAATCAAACCATGGGAATGGCTACAGGTTGATCAAGCTTTCCGAGGCAGCGAAGTGAGGGCATAACGCCATATTCGGATTCTGCAGCTGCCTGATAATCCGTTTGTGGAATTTCTCTCGCACCCGATTGAACTCCATTATGTCCAGGGGATCCTCTTCAATCCAGAATTTATGAAATTCATGCATCAAGTAGCCTACGGGGACAAAAAAAAAAAAAAAAAAAATCAACGGATTTTTAAAATTCAAGTGAATTGGGGTTTTCCTTTGGCGCGTACACAGTTTTGCTATTCCTCTTCTAAATGTAACCTAATCCAAATGTCATTGAATGCTATGACTTTCTTTGGCAATAGTATGGACGTGGGAGAATACGAACCGCACGGAGAAAAGGAAGCGCTGCTGAAGGCAAGTCAGCCCAGATGGGTTCTCGTAAATCTCTGCCCTCATGCACACAAGACAGGTGAAAAGGGCTCATTTGGCGAAAAAAAAAGCCATGTGCTGCATGTTTATAAAAATGCAGATAGAATTACAAACATTTTAATGGTGCAGTATTTTAGTGCAGGGGTCTCCAACCTTGGCAACTTTAAGACTTGTGGACTTCAACTCCCAGAATTCTGGGAATTCTGGGAGGTGAAGTCCACAAGTCTTAAAGTTGCCAAGGTTGGAGACCCCTGTTTTATTTATTTATTTATTTTATTTTATTTATGTAATTTATATGCCGCCCTTCTCCCGAAGGACTCAGGGCGGCTTACAGGAAAAACATTCAACAGAACGAAAAATTACATAAAAATTAAAATCCAATTAAAATTTGATTAAAATTATTCCAATGTAAAAATCACCCCAGCGGATCAGCCCATTTGATGAAAGAGCCACATCTTCAGTTCGCGGCGGAAGGAGAGGAGGTCAGGGGCTGTCCTAAGCCCAGTGGGCAGCCCATTCCAGAGGGTCGGCGCTCCCACAGAGAACGCTCTACCCCTGGGAGCCGCCAGCCGACATTGTCTGGCTGATGGCACCCTGACGAGGCCCGCTCTATGGGAGCGCACAGGACGATGGGAGGATGGCAGGAGATGATCCTGCAGGTACCCTGGGCCTAAGCCATGTAGGGCTTTATAAGTGAGCACCAGCACCTTGAAACGGACCCGAAGGACCACCGGCAGCCAGTGCAACTCGCGCAGGAGAGGTGTCACATGGGAGTAACGAGAAGCCCCCGTAACAACTCGCGCGGCCGCAATCTGGACTAGCTGTAGCCTATGGGTGCATCCCAAGGGCAGCCCCATGTAGAGGGCCTTACAGTAATCCAACCGAGAAGTAACAAGGGCATGAGTGACCGTGGCAAGGGCATCCCGGTCTAGGAAAGGGCGCAACTGGCGCACCAGGCATACTTGTACGAAGGCCCCCCTGGTCACGGCCGTCAGATGATCTTCTAAAGATAGCTGTGAATCCAGGAGGACACCCAGATTGCGCACCCTTTCTGAGGGAGTGAGTACCTCCCCTCCTATCACAAGTGATGGGACCACTAGATCATGAGATGCCGGTATCCACAGCCACTCAGTCTTGGATGGGTTGAGTCTGAGTCTATTTCTTCCCATCCAGGCCCGTTTTAGTGCATGTAATTACCTTTTCACCTTTCCCAGGTGCCTCCCCCCTTTTTTTAATCAAAGTCCCAAAGGTGCTTCTTTCTCTTGAAATCTGGCTTTGCTTAGTGAATGGAAGCAATCACAGCTTGAGCTGAAACAACAAAGGAATTCTGCGATATGTTGAAATCCTGAGATAGCCAAAGTCCATGTTATTATAGAAAGAGTAAGGTAGGGGCAGAATTGGAAGACAAGAGTTAAAAATGGTGGCAGAAATAAAACAGCACCATCTGCTGGCCTTGGCAAATCATAACAACGTGTTGTCTTAATGTCACATTTGGGTAAGTGGTCCTGAATAATGTTAAAAATTCCCCAACACCCACAAAGGATTTAATCATCAAACAAAAGTGGGATCTGGGGGACATTTCAAAACTGGGTGGGGTTTTTTTTTGGAAGTCAGGTCAACTTTAGCCAATGAGATTTTGCATAAAACAAATTGGCTTATTTTTCTTGAAACAGATTTATTTCTGCCGAATATTGGTCATTCTAAGAACTTAATATTAGTTTTAATATATTTCATCAATGGGATGCAACAACATCATTGATCCTTTGTGAATTGAAGAAAAATTGTGCACACGCATGCATACACAAGTGCAATCATTCTCTCTTACACAGATAAATCCTCCCCCCCCCCCAAATACTCACAAAATGTTTGCTGGAAATGGGCTAACGTTGGCGCTTCCGGAGCAACATTGTAGAAATGTGTCTTCAGAGCACCGCTCACAAGCAGGTTGTATGCAAGTTCTGTTATGTTGATGCCAACAATAGCAAAGGAATATCTGCAAGAAATATAGAAATGGGATTGCAAGGAATGAAACTAAGACATCTAGAAAATCCACAGTCATTTCTCTCTATCCAAACGGTTTCTTTTTTCAGCTTCAGTTGCATGCCATTACGAAAGTCTGAATTTGTCATCTTTTGGGGAATGTCTACTTCCTGTCTCTTACTTCCTCCCCTCCCCCAATATCATAGCATGATTGGCAAAGAGTATACAGGTAGTTGTCAACTTACAACCATTCATTTAACAACTGCAGTTATGACAGTGCTGAAAAATGGACTTACAACCAGTCCTCTCATTTATGAACACTGTTGCATCTTTGCAGTCACATATCCAAATTTGAGAGCTTGGCGACCAGTATCTTATTATATGGTTACAGCATCACAAGTTCATGTGATCACCATCTGCAGCCTTTTCAGGGGGTGGGGTGGGAAGCTGAATTAACATAATAATCCAGTCCCATAATAATCCGGAAATTGGCAAACGGGCCGTTTTTGGCCTCTGGAGGGCCTCCCGGGGGTGGGGGTGCGGAAGGCTGTTTTTGCCCTCCCCAGACTCCTAGAAAGGCTCTGGAGCCTAGTGAGAGAGAAAAACAGGCCTACCAGGCCATTGCGTGCCAGGAGCATGGGGGGGGGGTCATGCACACGTGGGGTAGGGCGCATAGAATTATGGGTATGGGCACACACGCGCCTGACCCCCCCCCGCTCCTGGCACACGATAGCAAAAAGGTTAGCCATCACTGCACTAGACTATGCTCACTCCCCAATAGAAGGCAGCATGGAGTTTATTAAAATCAACACTTAAACAGTGTTCTTATCACATTGCACATCTTATTTCATCAATGCCTTCAAAAAACAAACTGTATTTCTGGAAGATAAAGAAATCTCCTTCTACAATTTTATGGAAAGCAGGGCCAGCAGGGATTTAATTACAAAATTATCAGCAAATGAGGATGACTCTAATGAGATTTCTCATTTGGAATGCGGCACTTACCCAATAGCTTTATCAAACTTTTTCTTCTCCCACTCAGTCTTGCTAAATTTGCTGAAAAAGTTAAATAAAGGAATGGTTTACAAATGAAAAACAGTTTTCCCTCTAAAGTATGCCACCTCAATGGAAAAGCTAATTGGGCTGCTAGCATTTTATTCTGTCTTTTGAGTTGGGCTTTTAAATTGTTTATCTCTGAAGCCAATTTAACTTGTTTGTCTTATGAACCTATCAGTATAATATACTTCTCCGTGTTAAAATGTTTCTGAGACTGATCCTCTTTGTGTCAGAGACACTGATCCTTCAGGCAGCCTAAAAATTAGAGTACACTAAGGAGAGGGGGAAAAAATGTAAGCGTTCTATATTTCTTTCCACATTTTTGCAAGTCTGACTGCAGCCTAAGGCAGGTAAGACAAATCACTTGAAAAAGTAAGAAAAAATGACATTTTCTTATTGGAAGGAGAAAAGAGGAAAATGTATTGCCTTCATGTGGAATTGCTTTTAAAATATCTGAAAACTAGTTTACATGTGATGTCCCACATTCCCTGATAATGTATTCATCTGATTTTGAAAAGTAAATTCCCCTAAATCTGGATGGGAAATCGCAGTTCTCAGTATCATTAAAAATAGACCAAAAAAATGGTCAAATAACCCATAATCCCTTAAATCAGGGGTTCCCAACCCCCGGGTCATGGCCCATTATCAGGCTGTGGCCTACTCACAACCGGGCCACGTGAGCTCAACTATCAATCACGTGGCCCAGTTCTCCCCTCCTCTGGGGTCACCAAACTGCCTTAAGCAAGATAGGCTGCATCTCAGGAGGCTTCTTATGTGAGAAGGTTGTTAAAAGAGAAAGGAGTGATTTTGAATCTATTTTACTTCACCCCCCCCATCTTAACCTGCCTAAAAGGAAAATAAACCCAGTTACAGAGTTTATAGATAGATTGTAATGTAATAACTTTCTCTGGATTACTGGGGAGGTAAGGAGCACTAAGATGGAGAATATTATTACAATTTGCATGACAATTATTCAACACCTTCCTGGAAGAAAAAGTAACTGGGAGTGAAGAAAGAAAAGCTTCTCATTGGTGAAATGGTAGAAATTACACTGAGACATTTTGGATAGTTAGAGTTAATATTAGAAATGCTCAGTAGTGCTTCAGCAGGGGGTCGGACTCCAAAGTCCCTCCAACTCTGATATTCTGTTTCTAGATTTCTAAACCTTCAGTTAGAGGAGATGTATTTACAATTTCCTTTTAACTTTTAAACATCAATAACCCCCAAGGATATTTGTAGCTCAGGATTGAACTGTGAGGTCCTTGATGCTCTCTGAACTTGGTTGTTTTCTTTCAGACATTTCATTACCGAACTAGGTAATATCATCAGTAGCTCTGATTATATGACCTAGTTTGGTAATGAAATGTCTGCAAGAAAACTATCAAGCTCAGAGAGTACCAAGGACCTCACAGTTCAATCCTGAGCTACAAATATTCTCTTCCGTCAGCTTGTTTTTAGAGGCCCATAGTCAACTGGAGTTAGGTGCTCTACCTAGCTAATTTCTTTCTCCCCCCTCACCCCACCCTCCCTCCTTCATGGATGTTTTTTATTGGAGAATTACATGCATGTCTGCAAAACCAATTCTGAATTAAAATCTCTAGGACAGAGACATTCAGACAGAATAATAGGAAGATTTGAAGCTCCTGTTTGTCTTTTGGAAGATGAAGTATGACTTCATCTTGTTAGGTGGAAAGGAGTATATTCTGATTTCTAATAAAGTCTAATTTGTCCTCTAACATAGACAAATAGGCCAGCATTTTCCCTTGAAAGCAAAATTAGCAAGTCACATTCAACGTTCAATATATTTCTTCAATATAATTTTTGAATCCAGCATTCTCAGCTATTGCCTTTTTTTACAAAAATAAGAACTGGAATTACATGGTATACTATAGTAGGATTATTAATTGATATGTTACAATGCAATGTAATTGTGGGGATATCTGAGGTAGATATCTGAGGGATTCTCTTTCCTACTCAGAACCTGCTTTGTTATTTCTACCAATAAGAAAGGTCCTTTTGAAGATGTCCTGCTGCCCCTTCTCCTGTTTACCTCTCATCTGATCCTCAGGAAGTGCCCCAGAAGTCAACCCAACTGTAGGACTTGAATAAAAGTATCCCCCCTTGAGGGGACTTACAAACAGGTATGAGAGGAGATCATGGAATCTACTCAAACCTCACAGATGAATAAAAAAATCCTGAAACAGAGAAGAATGTTGATGCTGTTGAAACTTCTAAGCAGAAGTTTCTCATATGATTAGGGCAAAATATTTCTATAACTTAAATCTATTAGATGAAGACCTGCCCTCTTAGAAATAAGACTTTGCATTACACACACACTTAAACTTACATCATGTCCACTAGGAGAAGGGAGGGATATAAATTGAATAAAATAAATAAATAAAATAAATAAATGTTATCCTCTTCAGCCTTATCTGTGGTAGGGAAAACATATTTCTTTCTTTCAACCTTTGTTTCTTGGTTCTTTTTATTGCCTGACCTCCTTCTTTGTCCTCACTTGCACCTAGAATATGCAATCACTCCTTTCTCCCTCACCAAGGTCTTCTTGCAAGGAAGCCTTCAGGGTCTTTAATAATATTAACAATAGGCATATTGGATGCAATGCCAAAATAACAGGAGCACCACTTGAATACAATCAGCATTGACATTATTAGTCAATTGCAAAGGCAGCTTTACTTGGAACACTTTACATCCTTGGATTATATCTTTAACATTACTAAACAAAATGGGAGTGACTCGATAGGTGAACAAAAATGCCAAATCCAATCTAAACACCTGGTTGTCTGTGCGACCACTACCACAGTAATTAATTTATATAACGTCTGATTTTCAGTGGAGCCAACTTCTCAGATTTTGTTATGTTTATCCCTCTGGATCTCCTTTACATCTGTTTCCAAACTTTAGTTCAAAGCTTATAAAATAGAAAAGAAATATATGTATATATACCTTATTTCCTCTTTAGTGATTTCCCTTGATTGTGAAAGATGAAAAAAGAAAAAAAAAGAAGTAAAAAAAAAAGTCTAAACGTGGATTCATGTTCATGATTTATTAATGAAATAAATATGTCAAAGCAAGGCATTTTATCCCATCCTCGCCCCAACCCCCAAGTAAAAGAATGCAAGAAAAGCAGAGTATTTAACATCAAGAAAAAAAAAAGGATGCAAACTGATATTTCAAATGATTTATTAGATGCTGTTACTACTTCCAGCTTCAAACATTACCTATATTTGGGCTGAAGAGAGTCTAAGAGGATTTGCTGAGCTGCAGGTCCATCATGCTCAGCAAAGTATCTATAAGGGAGAGAGAAAAACACATATACATGAAAGGTATATATATTTTCAACATCTGGAACATCTGGATATTCATAGAATGAATAAACAAATGACTTTGTGTGTGTAAAAAAACTGAGACCTGTTCTTTCCACTGCACCACACACAATGGAATAAATGGAGTACGCTCCTGTTAAAAATGATCTACCCCAGTGATTCTCAACCTTTGGTCTGACGACCCCTGAGGGGGGGGCTACGATGTCATCATAGGGGATCCATGAGGCTTGAAGAAATGTTATGATTTAAATCTTGAATTAAGTCTTGGAGGTCCATGGCCACAAAAAGATGTTAAGGAGATCCATGGTGAAGAAAAGGTTGAGAACAATGATCTAACCAAATAAGACCCTGTCTTATATTTTTTTTGAACTCTGAAATAAGCGCTTGGCCTTATTTTTGGGGAGGTCTTATTATTTTGGGGCGCATGGAGGAAACCAGAGGAAATGGCGGGGACCGGCTGCACATGTGTTTAAATATTTTCGGGGAGGGCTTATTTTCGGGGAGGTATTTTTGCGCTCAAAAGCTCGATTGGGCATTTATTATCAGGGGATGTCTTATTTTCAGGGAAACAGGGTATGAGCACCATGGGTGGAAAAGGCAGAGATCTGATAGTCCTATTAAAAAAACTGCTGACATTGTAATTGTTGTGTTTTAAAAACTAAACCCTGTTTTCCTACATTGTAGGTGCTGTTGTGTTGATTTAAAGAAATTATCATCTACACAGGGACAAATAGTTGCAATGAACTGAAGTCAGACTACCCAAGTGTTTGAAGAATAATTTTCTTGACAAAGGCTAGGTTTTTTTTCAAAAAAGAAAAGAAAAGAAAAGAAAATACAATTTCTACCTTTTAATTCGTTACGTGAAAGAAACAAAAATATACTTACAGCAAGTTATACAACCCCAGGAGCCCCATTCCTCTAAAATCTGTTTTAGGATCATCACCTTGGAAACCAATTTCACACCACTGCTTGGAAATCCGAGCTTCCAAAGGAGAATCAGGTTTCAAGCATTTCCACAGCTTTGGAAGTAAAAGAAAATCACAGGTCTGTTATAACACATTGCGTGCAATGATTTTTTTTTTTTACAAAAAAAAAATAATAAAAAAAAAATCCGACCTTATCAGCTTTGCCTTCATTGATATGCATGGTGTTGCAGGATCCTGGGGCGAAGTGCCAACTAAAAATCGGCAAGGCTTTCTCCTTCACACTGCAAACATTTCAAACATGGCCCCTGGGAAATCTGATTTGCTTTAATTCAGAAATGGTGCAAGAATCCTGATCAGGCCTCCATAGTTATTTTCTCTAGCTTGGCATAAACCTCTAGGCAAAGCCGCAAATCATAGAATGGCTGTAAAGACTATTAGCTATAAAGGGAATTTTTTTCTCTCCCTTATGCTAATTTTGTAAGAGCATATCAGGGCCTGTCAAAGTGGAGACTCTGCTGTTCAAAAAAACGAATATTCATGCCTCTGCCACAGTGGTGAAATCCATTTTTTTTTACTACCGGTTCTGTGGACATGGCTAGGTGGGCGTGGTAGGGGAAGGATACTGTAAAATCTCCATTCCCACTCCACTTCAGGGGAAGGATACTGCAAAATCCCTATTCTCTCCCCACTCCTGGGGGAAGGATATTGCAAAATCTCCATTCCCACCCTACTCTAGGGCCAACCAGAGGTGGTATTTGCCGGTTCTCCAAACTACTCAAAATTCCTGCTACCGGTTCTCCAGAACCTGTCAGAACCTGCTGGATTTCACCCCTGCTCTGCCAGGGTTTAAGATTCAGACCCAGAATGTTGCTAGAATACCGGGCAAGTAAATGGCTATAACGTTTTCAGTTTCAGAGAACTGGTATGAAAAAAATACTTGGTAAGTTTTCATTTACTTTGGAACTTTGTTCAAGCTATTAATTACCAGCATTTGAACTGTGTCCAGGAGCTTGTGGCAACAAATGGACTGGCTGCAAAATAGGTGTTAATCTGCTAAACCAATTAAAGGCAGGCAGGCAGCCACAATCTGTGCCAGTGGGAACCTCTGAGTCATCTTCAAGCCAATCCAGTGGAAGTGGAATTGTAGTTATCTAATTGTGAGATGATAAAGAGTCTGTCATCATCATCTTCCATGCCTTCTTTTGCTTATTTGAAAGCTGTCCCAAATAACCAAGACCCCCGGGTAATGTAAAACAAAGTAAGAATAAAACAGAGAAAACTATATAATAGAATATCATAATAATGATTCTCTATAGTTGTTCAAGGCCAGTGGGATAAAGTGGGATAAAGGAGATGTAGGAGCTCTCTAGGCTGAGCCTGAGGGCAGGGTCAAATGCATCATTAGTTTGGAAACTCTAGCCCTTGTAAGAGACATAAGTCTAGTCACCTTTGAAGTCCGTTGATTCTTATCTGGCGCCAATTTGCCTTGACCATTAGTAGATCAGATTCCTGTGTCTAGGTTGCATGAAATAAAACTTGCAGTACTTTTGAACCTTATCCTGATTTCTTGCTCCTGACAAAAATCCTCTTAATGGCCTTAGGAAATTCAGGAAGGGATGGAGTCAAATGTAGCTGTGTGGTAGCATGCTCCAAATTGTGGGGGATACTAATGAAAAGGCCTGCCACTTGACTATTGCCCTTTCAAAGAGATGGATCCACAGATGGTCATCTCTAGAATTTTGAACTGACCTGGGAGAACCAATTCTAGTACAGGATGTATCCTGGTGGTCTATTGATAAGGCTTTACAGCAGGGGTGAAATGCTACTGGTTTGGTCCAGTTCAGGCGAACTGGTAGCGGCGCATGGTTTGGCGAACTGGTAGCGGCAGCAGCACAAGGCTCTGCCCACCTGCCCGGATGTCGTTACTTCCTGTTTTTAACTAGGAAGTAAGCTGTTTTTGCACATGTGCAGAAGGCTTTAAAATCGTGGTACACACACTTCTGAATCGGTAGGGTTAGGATTAGCGGCGCACGCATCTCTGAACTGGTAGGGAAGGTAAGTAAATTTCACCCCTGCTTTACAGGTAATGATCTGCACTCTGAATTCGGTCATTAAGTCTACTGGCATTAGAGCAATGACTTTAATATTGGTTTGTTTTTTTTTGTGAAAGCAGATTTGGCCCATACTAATAAATTAAATGAATTATGTTGCTTCCTTTAAAAGAAAACTTTCTGGCAGTGAAAGTTGATCAGCGTGGAGTCTCTTTACTATGAAAAATTGTGTTCTTCTGAGAGATTTTTAAACAGAGGAAGCCATAATGAATGGGAATGGGAATAGAGTAGAGTAGAGTAGAACAGAATACAATAGAATAGAATGATTTATTGGCCATATTAATGCTCTCAAAAGTCAAGTTTTTTTCCATTTTATCCTTTATTTCCCTATTTCTCATAATCTTGGTTATACTAATTTTAACAATACCACATTGTTGCCTGCAGTCTTTGGAAGCTAAATAAGCAAAATTTTCCTAGTCAGTTTAGAAGATCTCCTATCTCATGAATTTAGGAAAAGCTGTATAGCTAAATCTTTTTATCAATACTCTGAGCGTGTAACTTTATTCAAGGCCTTCTTAAGAGATAAAGCTCGCTTGTAAGCATAGCTCCAGCACATACCTTCAGAAGCATTTCTTCATGCTGATCCTCTTCAGAGTCATATGGCTCTCGACGCAGCTTTTCCACCTCTGCAATCAGGTTTCTGTATCCGACAATCTGCAAAAGGCAGGCCTGCAGAGATACACTTAGCCTAAAATGAAAAGATAAGGCCAAGAACACAGTAAACTCAGTAATTCGGCTTTGAGATTTATATTATTTTAGTATAGAATGGTGGCCTCTTTCTTTCTTTTTCTTTTTTCCCTGAATGATCAGCATTTTTTGAGACAATGTGTACTGCTTAAGAATCTGACTTTCTTTGCATTCTGCCTGCTTATTTCAGCAGAAAAAAAACTTTATGCATGACTATAAGGAACTTCTGGACATGCCATCTTTCAATTCATCTTTTCTGTTTTCCTTGACATTTGTCCTCACAACTACCGTATTTTTGGGTGTGTAAGACATACTCCCCTCCCAAAAGTGGGTGGAAATGTCTGTGCGTCTTATACAGCGAATGTTGCCGAAGCCCTGCCCACCCACTGGCCCCCACCCTTCGGCCTCTGCCTCCCAGCAATTTGCCTCCTTGTAGTAAACAGCAAACAGCCTGGTCAACTTCAGCAAGCCTGATTTAGCATGAGCAGCTGATTGGTGGTTGGATCTGCCTCCCCGAATACCGCTTATCAGCTGTTCCAGGCTGCGGGGATTGCCACCGCCCATCACTGTCACCGCCTATCACCGCCGCCTGGAACGGGCCGAAAATGGGATGCGCGGAAGCCAAAAATGGAGCGGGCGGAGGCCAAAAATGGGGTGCATGGAGGCAGCAATAGGCAGCAGTGGCGCTGAGCAGCGACAGTGGTGATGGGCAATGGTGATCCCTGCAGCCTGGAACAGCTTGTCAGCTTTGGAAGCATAGGCGGTATTCTGGGAGGCAGATCCAACCGCCAATCAGCTGCTCGTGCTAAATCAGGCTGTGCTGAAGCTGACCAGGCTGTTTGCTGTTTGCTGCAAGGAGGCAAATTGCTGGGAGGCAGATTTTTTTTCTTGTTTTCCTCCCCAAAAGCTAGGTGCGTCTTGGTAATGTGGGTAATATAGGTAATTTGCATCCTTCTTGTTTAAGAGGTGGCTGAAATAAATCTGTTTTTTCCTTCTTTTGCTGGGGACAAAAGAAATGTGTGTATTTTGTCTGATTGAAATAAAAACGTATGGCATTGCTTTGCTTCTAAGAGAGTAACTAAGAACTAAATGTGCACTCTAAGCATTATATATGAAATGATCATTAGATCGTAAGGTAAAGTGTGATGGTAAAGAATTGGTTCCAGATTAACCCTTGAAATTAAAGAGAAGGAAGATACAAACTATTTTGAAACATGGGATTCATTTTATCTGTGGTTAAATAACAGAAACAGAAGTTAGAACACTTAAAATTATAAGCTAAGGATTCACTTTACCATGAGGTAAAATGAATTTATTATATGTTTATTATCAATATGATTTAGTATTAACCATTAAGTATTAATATTAAGTTGAAAAAATATTGTTATTACACTATCACTACTAATGAACATGATGATGATGATGATAATGACTATTGCTCAAAATAACTGTAACCAGACAACACACTGTTTATATAGACATTGAAATTGTTGCTCTTTCTTTATATAGTAAAAATAAAAAATTTATTTGGAAAAAAAAAGAATTGGTTCCAGGGAAATTGTGTCCGCTGTTGTGGCGCAATTAAAATGCAGTACTGCAGGCTACTTCTGCCAACTGCCAGCTGCCAGCAGTTTGGCAGTTCAAGTCTCACCAGCTCAAGGTTGACTCAGCCTTCCATCCTTTTGAAGTCGATAAAACAAGGACCCAGATTGTTGGGGGCAATAGGTTGACTCTGTAAACCGCTTAAAGAGGGGCTTTACATACTGTGAAGTGGTATATAAGTCTAAGTGCTAAAAGCTATTGCTATTGCTATTGCTATTGTCTAAGTGCTAAAGCTATCTGTCAACAGCTTTAGTAGAGAAATTATTTATCCAAGATTGTGGTACTGGAGCTCATGAGGGATCATTGTCAAAGAATTACAGGTAGTCCTTGACTTACGACCACAGTTGGGACCAGAAATCCATTTGCAAGTTGTTGCAGTTGTAAGTTGAAGCAACCATGTGACGGGACTCCTTTTAGGACATTTTTCATGGTGGTCTTTAAACAAATCACTACTGTAGTCATTAAATGAATCATGCAACACTTAAGTAATTGGTTGTTATGAAACCTTCCAAATGGGACTTTTTAAAACAGAAACTGGCCAAACAGGCAGGATACGGCAACCAGTTGTAAAGGTATTTCGTTACCAAACATCCAAAATGCAGTCACAGGACCATGACAGATTGAGAATGACATTTTACAGACCTCGGAAGGATGGAAAGCTGAATCAACCTTGAGCCTGGTGAGTTTCGAACTGCCAAATTGCAGGCAGCCGGCAGTCAGCAGAAGTAGCCTGCAGTACTGCACTCTAACCACTGTGCCACCGCGGCTCTTAATACCTGTATCTTTCACAAAATGTTTGTCAAAACCTGCACTGCATTAGGAAATGTGTGGGAAAATCAATTTTAAAAGAAATTAAAGAGCGAAGTCTGAAACATTATCTCCCCCAATGCCACTTATTTAAAACTTACTGCGGATTTACATCTGGGTTAATCTTTTTCAAGTCTATGATGGCATCTACTGTTTTTTCAATTGCATCTGGATGAACACTAATGGAATTTTGGAGCAACTGAAAAGAAAGAATTTATCATATATCAGTTTTCTCATAGTGAAATCCACTCGAAATAAATCACTGAAACTATTATTAAACGCCATTAACAGGGATATAACCCTGATCTACTTAGGCTTGCATCATACCAAATCATGATTAACCCAACACTGAAATATTTGTAGGGCCTATTTGGGGGTGGGGGCAAGGGAAGTTTTAAAAAAATCAAGATGAGAGCTGTATCACGCAATCAAACCCCCCCTTTGTAAGCCATGATGCATGTTATAAAAAGGTGTCCGCCATTATTTTTTGTCCTCCTCGTCCCTTGGACACCCATGTATCACAATGTCCAGTAAAGATGATCATCAGTCTTCTTTTTAACTGAATAACAATAAAACAGAATAGTAATGAAAGTATTTAATGCTGTTGTGGCCCGCCAGCGGCCTGCGCAGATTGTTGCTGATCCTGACAACGAGGAGGCTAGTGTGGTGTCACGCCAGCAGCCTGTGCAGCTGGTGCTCGAGTCGGACAGCGAGGAGGCTGAAGAAGATGTAGTGCCAGAGGCAGGGATTCAACCAGGGCCTTCAGAACCTTCAGAGGCTCCTTTAAGTGAAGAGGATGAAGTTGAGGAGCCTCTTTTCAATGCACGGGCACGCAGAGCTGCCAAAAGGCAAGAGTGGTTACTCAGGAGGAGGTCTCCTTGAGAGTAAGGCTTGGGGCTAATTGGCCACTCCCTTAGCCTATTTAAGTTTTCACACAGCTTGTAAAAAGCTGCAGGAAACAACGTTCGTTTGTTCGCTGATCATTGAGTTTGGATTTTCTCTGCAAACCTGGCTTCTGGGCTTCCTGCCAACTCTTGTAAGACTCTATCTTATCTGTGGAATTTCTGGCAGGTTGTTAAGAACGTTTTATTAACAGCCTGCATTTGCAAAAGACTGCGTTTTGAAGTAAACTGAGTTATGTTCGGAGTTTGTGTGTGCTACATTCTGGGGCAGAACAAATGCACAAGGAACTTTCAAATTTCCATCTCATGAATATTTGACAGCTGTCAAAAGGATACGGGTAGAAAGACCGCTATTTATTTAGGCAAATCAATGAGCATTGATATTACCAAGCTATCGATTCCTGAACCTCTAAATATGTGAGGTAAATATCTCAAAGCTATTAAGATACAGAGGTTATATTTTATTTCCTTCCTTTTTACAGTCTCATATTTTTCAGTTATCTGAAAGTTTTCCTTCACCCTTGTTTGCAATTCAGCTTAAATACTGCTGTTGTAATATAGATCACAGAGCAAATATTGTCGCAACCAATGAACACAATACAGAGAGAATTTTACCCACCTTGTTTTTTTGAATTCCTCAATGATGTCTCTGTTGGGAAAAATATTTTTGAAAGTTTAAATTTTTATTACATTTTAGCATGTTTAACATTGTGGCCAATAGAACCACATAATATTTGATCAATGGGCTTTTACCAGCAAGGAAAAATGAACAAGGGAGGGATTTTATTAGGAAACAGAATTCTTACATGCATACAAAATATTTGGGGGAGATCAATGATATTAAAGATTAATACTTTTTTTTAAAAAAATAAGCTGTTTGTCTCAGTTATGTAAGATACGTTTTTATTCAGCAAGATAATCTGTGTCTCTTAATCTAGAATTCCTAAAATCTTGAAGCAGGATGGCCAATTGGGATCCCCAAATCACCGAACATTAGACAATATAACCAAAGTCATATTTAGGATAAACAACAGAACAAGCTAGAAGTTATTGAAGTTTAGGTAGTCCCCAACTTACAACCACAATCGGAACTGGAATTTCCGTTGGAAGTTGATGCAGTTGTAAAGCAAGTCATCATATGAACAGACCCTATTTTACAACCATTTTTACTGCGGTTGTTAAACAAAGCAAATGCCCATTAAGCAAATCACACAGTCGTTAAGGAAATCCAGCTTCCCTAGTTGATGTAGCTTGCTGGAAACTGGCTGGAAAGATTTTAAATGGTGATCGCGTGACCAAAGGACACTACAACTGGTTGTAAATGCAAAGTAGTTGCCAACCGCCCAAATTGTGATCATGTAACTGTGGGCATGGTGTAACAGTTGTAAATTAAGAGATTGGATAACCATTTGTCTGAAATGCTATAGGTTTCCTCTTTTATTATAAAACTCTTTTATTCTAAATGTGAAGACAGTTATAAATCGCTTTTTCCAAGACTGTGGAAGGCTTCATCATTCTGAACCACCCTTAAATCAATGGTTGTAAATTGAGGATTACCTATATTAAACCAAGTACTATGAAGAAGGAGAATTAACGATAAGAAGCCCAAACTACACCAGAAAAGAGAACAAGTGGCATTTGTTCTATTTGCTCTCCATCTTGTTAAATTCCAGCAGGAAAAAAAGTTGGAAATAATTATGTATAGGCCAAGGAAAGTTTGTTTTTTTTCCTATGTCAACCACTGTTTGCTCCTAATAAGGAAACTGATGGAATATGATAAATAAATCCAACTTGATAAAATGTTTGCTTGTTTGCTAATTTTTGTCTTCTGTTGAAAACATCTTGCCACAGAGAAATGGAACTTTATGAGAACTCTTCAGTGGCAAATTTCATTCATTGCCTTTAATTGTGATTAAGGAGGAAACCTTTTCTTAAACCATTACATCTGGAAGACAGCAGGATGAGGAAGTCTAGGCGAGAAAAACATGCTTTCCAACAAAACTCAGGTAGTCCTCAACTTACAACCACAATTGAGCCCATAAATTTATGTTGCTAAATGAAACATTTGTTAAGTGAATTTTGCCCCATTTTACGACCTTTCTTGCCACGGTTGTTAAGTGAATCATTGCAGTTGTTAAATTAGTAACATGGTTGTTAAGTGAATTGGGCTCCCCGTTGACTTTGCTTGTCAGAAGGTCACAAAAGCTGATCACATGACCTCGGGACACTGCAACCGTCATAAATATGAACCGGCTGCTAAGCATCTGAATTTTGATCATGTGACCAAGGGGATGCTGCAACGGTCGTATGTGTGAAAAACGGTCGTAAGTTGCTTTTTTCCCCATGCTGTTGTAGCTACTAATGGTCACTAAATGAACTGTTATAACTGGAAGATTACCTGTATTCTGAAACATCAATTTTTATGATGATGTACGTATAATAAATCATTTTAAACTAGTTTCATATATAATAAATCACTTTAATCAAGGCTTGAGGCAATTAATGAACTGTCAACCAAACAAACAAGTCAACCGTTTTATGAGCATGATGAATGAAAATAAAGATCAAGAGTTGCCCTAAAGGTGCTTACCAATTTTCAGGGTTCTTTCAGCTCCAGGCTTGATATTATAGCAGATCCTTTGCAGTTCACAGCGTCCGGTCAGTTTCCGTGCCACAAATTTCAGGCAGCGCCATAAGCATTTGCAATAGAAGTACAGGCATACCTGGACAAGCATTCTGTCAAAAGAATCCTTAAAATGAGAAATCAGGAAAAACCTTTTTTTTTGATCAGCAAAATGATCCTCGGTGGCAACAACACGCCTGAACTTCACACTGAATTTAAGAAGAATATTTTTTAGGATACGACTCTAGTTAAGACTTTTTTAAAAAGTTTAGCATGGTAACCAAAGAACCACAAACACAAAATAATCATTCTTTGGGAATTGGTAGGGCTAAAGGATATGAACAAGGTAAGGGAGACTAATGGCATGGTTTATCACACCCATGACTTAATTACTGCAGCAATGTAATTGCTCTATGTCAAGGATGGGCAAAATGTGGCCATTTTACAACCTGTGGACTTCAACTCCCAGAATTCCTGAGACAGCCAAGCTGGCTCAGGAATTCTGGGAGTTGAAGTCCACAGGTCATAAAGGGGCCATATTTGCCCACCCCTGCTCTATGTTATGGAGGAAAACCCTTAGCGCGTTCCTTATGTTTTAGAGCAGAGCAGAGCAACTCATGAGCCATAATATGCCTTTTTAAAAAAAATTTAAAAACCCCTTTTTAAGAACTCTAAAAATAATATTTTTGCTGAAATGAAGAGCAAAATAAGACTGTTAAAGCTTCCCCCCAAAACTTCAGCCTTATCTCCTCCGGTTTTTTCATCAAGCACTCTTATAAAATCATAGAACTGGAAGGGACTTAAAAGGTCATCAAGTCCAACGTCTTGCAGACTGCAGGATTCTCTATACCTGATATGTCTGACCTTGGAAACTTTTAAGACTTGTGGCCCCTGCTTTAGACTACAGAATGACACTACTCCCCAGCTACATTTGCATAGCATGTTTAATTTAACCACTGCCTTTTCAACTCATTGTTCACATGGTATAATGAATTATGTAGTTAGTGGGCTGTGCAAACACAGTTCCAGTAAGGTAATTGACCTAAATTCCCTTACCATGCACCCATATTGGATGTGTTCATACAATATGCTAATCCACAACCCCTGTTTCTGCAGCCCGGCACTGGGCCATGGGTGTGCCAGAAACCAATCCGCATAAACAAGCAAAGCCCAATCCGCGCATGTGCGGGATGCAGGCAGCATGTGAAACCACGCTCACTTTGGTCCGCGGAAATCCTCTCTCCACGGAACCAGTCCCTGGTACCCAAAACGTTGAGGGGCCATTGTAATTATCAATGGTTTAGTTAACTATGGTATAGTGATTAAACCAGAATGAAAGGGGTTCATTAAGCTATAATTACACTATGTGGGTTTATCAAAATCCTAAACCGCACAAGGGGGTTCAATTTTGGCTTAGTACTGTGTTTCCCCAAAAATAAGACCCTGTCTTATATTTTTTTGAACTCTGAAATAAGCGCTTGGTATTATTGCCACGCACTCAAAAACCCGATTGGGCTTATTATCAGGGGATGTCTTATTTTGTGGGGGGGGGGAAAGGGTATATTGTACAGGCATTGTGGTTTGATTGGGGAAAAGAAGCATTGTGCCTTGATTAAATGACACTTGGTGCATGTGTGACAATTGATGTATTCAGTTAATGCTATTTTTAAAATGCTGAGTACATAAACTATGGTTTCATACTGTTTTTTTCAAACAAACCATGGTTAAGACTAATAACTGTGATTTCAGACACAGTGCATGTAGCCAATCCTTAACCTCATGCTCTTTTTTGCCCTCTGTGTGTGTGCGCAATGTGTGAACCTAAGATTTGCTGTGGTTCATAGTTTGCAGGCTCAGGTGAATTACCGATTGACAAATGAACATAGTCATCCTCAAGATCTGGGCACATGGGAGATCCTGTACATGCAGTTTTCCCCTTTGTTACATCTTTCACTGCATATTGTTTCCACATGCTGTCCTTTATAAGCACTAAGTGGCCTCTGTCATTTAAAGACGTTATGAAGCTTGCTTACATAGGAACTCCATGAACTTTAGAAAATAAGCTTGAGGCAAGGATCCATCATGTTCTGTTATTGCACTACATTTTGTACAATACTTATAAACTGCACAATCCTAAATAGTCTCAGGCTTTGTTTATACAACATATTAGGTTAAAAATAGGGTTGGATCATTTCTGTGCATTGGATGAAGGCAGACAGGGAGGTTAATTTATGAATCAGTGTATTGGGCATACAGTAATGTAAAAGTAAAGAGTTTCCCTCGCACATATGTGCTAGTTGTTCCCAACTCTAGGGATCGGTATTCATCTCTGTTTCAAAGCCAAAGAGCCAGTGCTGTCCAAAGATGTCTCCGTGGTCATGTGGCCAGCATGACTAAATGCCAAATGCGCACGGAACACTGTTACCAAAGCTGGTCCCTATTTTTCTACTTGCATTTTTTATGTGCTTTCGAACTGCTAGGTTGGCAGAAGCTGAGACAAGTAACAGGAGCTCACCCCGTTACGCGGCACTAGGGATTCGAACTGCCGACCTTTCGATCGACAAGCTCAGCATCTTAGCCACTGAGCCACCGCATCCGGGCATACAGACAATTAGCTAAATTCAGTATTGTATGAACAATGCTCTACAGTATTTATTGAGGCTTAATCCCTGGTAGGTGCACAAAGGGTTGCAATCTACACAAATTAAAATAATGTGTGCACTTTAAAAGGCATGCGCCAACAAGGAATTAGTTAATCCTTTCTATCTACCTCCTCTTCCAGCAGAAAAATGTACGTTGCTTAGTTCTTAAGCATGTGATTCTCAGGGGACATATATGTTTTCCGCAATTATCAAGAACACATTCATGTGATAGAATTGATCTGTCTGCAGCTGGTTAAGAAACCTATGTGATCAGTGACGCTGTGTTTTTAAAAGAACCTGGTACAAGGAAATTATACCCTGTAATTATTATTCCTCAATAATAATACAGTGGAATACATATTTCACTGTATACCTAATCACACTTCCTAAGACCATTTTATTTCCAAGCTAACACTTAAAAACTGAGCTTCTTGGCCTTAGTCAAACTGCAAATTAAACTAAACAGAATTAGTAAGAAAGACCACATCACAGCCATAAACACCAAAATCGATGGTGGAACATATAACTATATTACAGTGGGGTACTACAAGGAAGTGCTACATCTTAGAAAGGTTAACTACAGGAAGTGAACATTCATTTGATGGGTACCTTTAAATGATACACTACTCCTCCATCTTAAACTTATGACATTGGAGATCTTCTTTAGGAGTAAAATGGTATTGACTTAAGTACAGTTAAGGCTGTTATCATTTCAATGGTTTATTTATATACAGTATAAATTCTTGCTTGTAGAAATCCTGCAATAAAAGCACACTATGAAATGGATTAGGTTTTTAAGATGGTCTGACTTTCCTAATTTTACCAAGATCACAAGATAATGCCCCTCTCTTTAAAACAAAACAAAACAAAACAAAACAAAACAAGAGTACAATTTTAATGCCAAATAATTATATTCAGAAAGGGACTCTTACACCAATGTGTATTATTGTTTTAACTTTTTAGTTGTGTCTGACTCTTGCTGACTTTATAGGCAAGTGCTCTCCACGTTACCCTATAAAGTATAGATTCTTTCAATAGTTGGGATGTTCACGTTTGTATCAGATTTGATGTTACCAAGTCAGCATGTTCTTTGATTGACCCTTTTTCTTGTTCTGCTAGCCATTACTAGCATCATTGCCTCCTCCAATGAATTTGAATGCAGGACAGGGCCAAACACGGCGAGAGAACTGTCACCAGCCTAATTCTACCTCTTCTATTAACTACATTTGAATCAGTAAGAATGATAAGTTTCCGGCCCCCCCTCCCCCCATAAATATTGGTTTCTTTTTGCCTGGATGCCATTCCCTAGAACCGTGATGGCGAACCTCTGGCACGCGTGCCACAGGTGGCACACGGAGCCATATTGATGGGCACGCGAGCGTTACCCTACCTCAGCTCCAGCACACGTGTGTGCGCTGGCCAGCTGATTTTTGGGCCTTCTGGGCCCAACGGAAGTCAGCAAACGGTCTGTTTCCGGCCTCCGGAGGGCCTCCAGGGAGGTGGGGAAGGCTGTTTTTGTCCTCCCCAGGCTCCTAGAAAGTCTCTGGAGCCTGGGGAAGGCTAAAACTGGCCTACCAGACCCACCATGCCATCACATGCCAAAAGCGGGGGGGAGCATGGGGGGTCGTGAATGCCTGCGTGGGGGGGGCAGGGCGCATAGCATTATGGGTGTGGGCACGCACACGCGCAACCACCCCGCACTCCCCCAGCTTTTGGCACGCGATGGCAAAAAGGTTAGCCATCACTGCCCTAGGAAAATAATAGCTATCCTTTTTTTCTTATTGCAGCAAATAAACCTTCAAGCTTACCATTTGAGGAACTATTTGAGAAACTTTTTAACTTGAGCTGGAAGGAGCAAGGTGGTTATTTCTTTGCAACCCACTTATATTAAAAATGGATTTTACTAAGTATATATGCAGTCATGTCGCAGAGTGGTGCAATGGCCTAGAGGTGGAGCTCTCGCCTCACAATCAGGAGGCTGTGAGTTTGATCCTAGATAGCGGCCAATATTTCTCTCACTGGGTAAAACTCAAACTCTGCATTGGCGATAGGAAGGGCATCTGGTCAGTAAACACTCAACTCCTTTCAGTTGCCCTGACTCCACCCTGATGCAAGGGATTACGGGGTCATTAAAAGACAAAAACAAATTGTAGTCATTTTGCAAATAATGTAACTGTCTCCAGCAGTATCTTAATTTATTAAGGCCCTGAAAAACATTCTCAGAATAGGTAAATGGTGAGCATGGAAGCATCATGATGCTTTGGAAATGGATCTATTTGTCTCAGAAATATCTCTAGGACTCAAGCTTGACTCAGATGAATTTTTATCTTTTATGTATCTGTTATGATGTTGTTGTGCTTGTCCTGATAAAGAAATAGATTCTGGATTTTTTTCCACCTTCCCTATTTAATTTACAGAGGGTCTACCTATAGAAAGAAACATCTGCTTAGTGCCTAAAGCAGAAGTGAAGGTAATCTCCAGCGACATAATGATGGCCTCTGAACTGAAGGCAAAGGTATCTGTTATCTCATTACACCAGGGATAGACAACTGTGGTAATTTTACAGCCAGCTGGCTCAGGAATTCTGGGAGTTGAAGTCCACAGGTCATAAAGTTGCCATAGTAGCCCACCCCTGCATTACAGCCAGCCTTATGGAATACTAACAATAGTTGCTTTTCCACAGTTACCAAAATGCATCATATAAATGCAAGGCTATTGCCTGCTAACAGAACCACATGTGGGCAGAGACTAGAAACAAAGAAAGTTACAAGTAAGAGATAATGGACCTGAACAATTGTTCAAGCGTGAAGTACATATTTTATAATACTTAACTGACACATAAGCTCAGTAAAAACTTGGATTCATTAAAAGGAAACAGCTCCCTTTCTCTGAGGCTATTTTCATTTTCCTTGAATTTTCCCCAATAACAGCTAGATTTTTCAGATTGAAACAAGACCGGTTTTTCATTTTATCCATCTGTTTAGATTAAAAAAAGCACCATGGCAACCAAAATTATATTATCATAATAAAGCGTTCAAAAACACTGCAGACTCTGCAGATCGGTCTCACGATTCAGCAACGATTAATTTCTCTAGATGTGAGTGGAATAAATAGCACATCCACCACAGATATTTGCTGCCCCTTCTAAGAAAGATATAAAATAAATGTACAGAAATATAGCAAACAATGGTTCTATGGATTCTAAGCATAGGCAATCTCGGAAAAAAAAAAAACACAACTAACAAAAGCAACCGGCTAACTTGGAATGTATTAATTCCACCTATCGATTCTGTGATGAGCTTAAGTGACACAAATTTCCCATCTAAAATATGGATAGATATGACTAATAGAATGGATAGCTGTTTCCCAGTTTTCCCCAGACATATGAATTGGACTAAACCTGTGACTATTCCCTCATGAAGCTATGTGTTACCACTCCATCAAAATGGAAGTTTTAGGAAACGTTTGCTTCTAACCATAACCTAAAAGTGCTTATTTAATTATTGACCTTCACCTCTAGATATATCCATAGCATTTCAGCTTCAGATGATTACCATTTCCTTTTAAAATGCTTCATTGGCTAAAATCTGGGTTTTTTCCATGTTTCTTACAACATCATAGCTCAATTCTCTCCAGAGTAGTCTCTAGAGAACAAATACAACTCCTACAACAACCTTAAGACTAAATTCTATTTAAAGCTTTTGGCACCTGATTATGAGGTAAAATAAAACTACTGGCTCTTGTATTTTAATTTCCTTCCCTTTTTAAGCAGTTTTGTTCTGCTCTGACTGCTTTTTAAAATAAATTAAGAGGCCTGATAGAATAGTTCTGATTTGTAGCTAAATAGCTCTTTAGTTGGCAACAGGACCATGGAGAGTACCAGAGAGACTGATGTACAAAGATTAACTCACTGGGTCGGTTTTGCAAGCAACTCTAAGAGTTGTAGTTAAACATTCTAGAGACAAGGAAAGTATTTTCTTCTGATGATAGATTGGGATGACCAACTCAAATAGCAATCTCATGCCTTAGGATATATAGCAAATTTATAGTCTTCATTTCCAGCAGTCGGCCATTCTCATATATATCAAATCCAGCATTTATTTCCCTTGCATGGCTTGGATGTTGCTAAAAAAAATACTGAATTTTCATGAACTTTTGGTATCAATAGCAATGGAATTGTTAGTATAATAAGGAGAAAGAGCTTGATTCTAACATGAGCAACTGCAGATTCAGAGTCCACGTTTCTTCTGCACAGTCCTTACACTACGAACGCTAACTCAATGAAAAAAAAAATATTCGCCATCCAGGTTCACAATAAAAAAAACCATTCCAGAATAAAGAATAATTGCAACCCTGTTGACACGTGCAACAGGATTCCTTCCATGCTGAATCTTCTCTCCACCGACCGTGATCTGCAGATGGTCGTGTGGCCCTGAGGCACCAAAAGATGTTCAACCTGACACAGCTTAATACTTTGCTTTTATAATTTAGGTCACAGCATCAAAGTAGAAGATTATGTATGAGGAGATCACTTCAACATGCCAGAACAAAATATTCTTGCTTTGAGACACCTGGGAAGAATGCAGCACAGAGGGGAATGTTCAAAAAATGGACATTATATGTTATTATTACAGGAATAATTCATAGGGACATTATTTACAGTAATGTCTATGCAAATCATCCTCAATTTACCTTTGGGAACATTTTATGTCTATTGCTTAGCAGGTGGTTATTAAGTGAGTTGCACCCATTTTTATGATTTTTTTTTGCCATGATCATTACATGAATTATCAGAGTTGTTAATTAAATGACATGGTCAATAAGGGAATTCGACTTCCACTATCGAGTTTGCTTGTTAAAAGTCATCTGGAAAGGTTCCAAATGGTGATTGTATGATCCTGGGATCCTGCAACTGTCATAAATATATGCTAGTTGCCAAGTGCCCAAATTTTAATCACATGACTTTGGGGATGTTGCAGTGTGAGGACTGGTCATAAGTCACTTTATGGGTGAGATGGGCAGCACATAAATTTAATAAACAAATATTTTCACAAATGAAAGCAAATAAACGTTTTTTTCAGTACCATCGTAACTTTGAACAATAACTAAATGAATAATAAGTTGAGTATATTAGAGGTGGTTAAAAGACAGAATGAGATCACTGAACTGACATTGGGAGACTGACAATAATTTTGTCCTTTTTAGCAATAGCAATGTGAATTCTTGCTGAAATGAAGGTCAAAATTACCATGTTGCTTGTATTAAAAAACAGCAACCACCACCACTGAGTTATGGCACAAAATATAAATTCCTCAGCTCTAAAATGCCCAGTACTAACAATAAGTCTTTTCTATCTTGCCCTGGTCACTGAGCTTCTGCATTCTAGTAAGAATAACCTCAACAACCCAAATTAGACCTGATGCTCTTACTCTTCCCAGCAATTTGAATAGTAGCTTTCCTCCAGCTTTATCAAAGATTACAATAACACAAAAAAGACCCATAAAAAAACAAAAAGAAAATCCTACTTCACCAGAAGCGTAGAGTGAGATTCAAACTCAAAAATGATTGTATCTCAAGCTGCTTTTTTCCCACCTTTTGTGCTTGAACAGACTAATTTGTTATTAATATTGTTTTTTCAAATATTCAAACTATGACATGCTTTAGGAATGTCTTAAACTGAGAAATTACATCCTAGGAATTCTACAAGTCCATAAACATAACAAATTACTGTAAACTCAGTGGTTATTTTCAATTAACATCTTAATTGAAGATGTCTACAATTTTCAACTGTGTAAATTGTTTATAGGTGAGAAAGACAGAAACAGATTTTATTGTGGTCAATGACCAGCGCAAGCATCAGAATTATACAATCCAACAGGTGCAGAGACACAAAACTTTCAGAAAGATTGAATTGTGACACCTAAATATTTCAATGACTTTATTCCTATATATTGGTATATATCTTTCCCCATTTTTTTTGTTGCTTTCATAATTGTGTATTATAATACAGTGAAATTTGTATGGTGTAACTTTAATTGTAAATTTCTTGGAAATGTGCCTTATGGGAAATTATAAAATACTGTGCACTAAAAAAATAAAACTAGAGAAATCTTGGAGATTTGGAAATTATACAATCAACATGCTGATATCACACAATCAGATTTTGCTGCATGCAAAATTCCAAGTATAAGATATCTGAAATTTCCAGAAATTTTGCCTAAGGAGTAAGGCACAATCAGTGTTTTAATTTGATATGTTTGCTTTTAATAACTGATAGAATCTAAACTAAACAGTAAATTTAGAAACAGAAGCAATGCTACGTGAGTTCATCATGATGTCAATCTAATGCTATCTCTGAAGACAGTCATAACCACTAAATCTATGAACATTTTCATTATTTCTAGCAGCATTAAGTCATTTCTCCCCTTCTGGTTCAGTCTTAAACTCCTCCTGAGCCTCTCAATCTTTGTTCCTCAATGTTCAAGGGATTAAACCTCAAGGCTGCAAAGTTCATATTGAAAAATAAATAACCAATGCTTATAAGGAATTAAAGAATGAATGCAAGAGTGAGATTAAGAATTTTCACTGACTGGGAGATCGGTGCTGCATTATGCTACAGAAAAGTATAATTGTACAAGATAAAGAAACATAGCCAAGGTCACATAGCAGTTATGGTCACAATCAGTTTAAAATCCTCATTCAGTCATGGCATTCACTGGATGACGGGAACTCTCACAGAGAATTGTTTTGAGGATAAAATGAGCAAGCACAGGTAGTCCTCGCCTTATGACCGCAACTGGAACCAGAATTTCCATTGCTAAGCAAGGCAGTTGTTAAGTGAGTCTTACAACCTTTGTTTTCCCATGGTAGTTTAGTGTGAATCACTGCTGCTGCTTCGTGAAACACATGGTTATTAAGTGAGTCTGACTTCCCCACTGACTTTGCTTGTTGGAAGATGGCTGGGAAGGTCACAAATGGTGATCATATCTGGGATATGGCAACCTTTGTAAATATACGGTGGTTGCCAAGCATCCAAATTTTGATCATGTGATTGTGCCAATGCTGTGATAGTTATAAGTATGAGGATCAGTCATAAGTCACTTTCTCAGTGCTGTTGTAACTTTTAATGGTCACTAAATGAATGTTTGCCAATTGAGGACTACCTGTACTGTACGTTGCCTTACACGCTTCACAGAAATGTTGGATAGAAATATAATGAGTACATACATAAACAAGTAATGAATAAACTAGGATTGATTATGTAATTTACTCAATATCAAACAATTATATAATCCAGTTTTCCTTGAGCAAACTGATTTCCTTGATGAAATATTTTAGAACAGTCTCAAATCAATCTCAGCTGGAACTTGTCTTAAGGGCTTTTTATAAACAAAGGAAAGTTACCTGAGGAAGTGCTTCATGATGGTGATTTTATTTTTCAGTTATAGCAATGATCTTCAGTTTAGGGCACAGGCAGACAGCTTCTTCAGTAGTAATGGACGCTATGAAGAGAAAGTGAACATATTTGATCATCAAAAAATAAACAGTGTCCAAGCACAGCTGAACCTTCTTTTCAAACATCATCCTACCAACTACCGAAGATCAAATATATTTTTTACAGAAAATATTTACCTAGAATGTGAGGCACACTACATTAAATGAAGTTCAGCGTCAGATACATGAAGAACCTAATGATTTGGGGGGGGGGCTTTGAATCAACTTTGACTCCGGGCTACTGCCTGGATTAAGTCTGAAGTTTTCTGGTGGCTTGCCATTGCCTTCTTCCTAGAGCTGAGAAAGAGTGACTTGTCCAAAGACACTTAGGTGGTTTTGTGCCTAACGCAGGACTAAATCTGTGGATCTCCTGGTTTCTAGCCTGACTCTAGATCAGAGGTCTTCAAACTTGGCAGCTTTAAGACTTGTGGACTTGAACTCCCAGAATTCTCTAGCCAGCTATGCTGGGAATTGAAGTCCATAAGTCTTAAAGCTGACAAGTTTGAAGACCTCTGATCTAAATATTTCAGTTCCCTTTCACTACTGGCTGGACTGATTTACATCATCAGGAGTAGCTGGCTACACATTATTAATCCCTAATGCTAAATAGCTGTCAGCTATAATAGCTAAGCGGAAGCTCCCTAATTTGATCCAGTCTACTTCATGACAAAGAAATAATGGAAGGCCCTCAATATTAAATGCAACTTGTGAACTTGCTTCCCAGAAACATTTAGCTAACCTAGCCCGAAACATAATTACTGTTATATGACCTTACTATTAATCTCACTATTGTTGTTCTTCTCTGCGCTCTTTCCAAATACTTAGTGTCCTTCAGATATTATAATGACCAGAACTGGATCTAATATTCTAGATTCAACCCTTGAGCTGTGTAACATAGACAGCATTATCATTTCCCACAATCTTGACACTACATTTCTGTTGATACTGCCCAAAATTGCATTTGCATTTGCAGCATATTGCTGTTTTATCCTTAATCCCTGGCCGACCAAATATTAGATCCTTCTCACAATTGCTCTTGAGCCAGGTACCTATTAGAGCCGTGATGGCGCAGTGGTTAGAATGCAGTATTGCAGGCTAATTCTGCCGACTGCCAGAAATTCAATCCTGACTGGTTTAAGGTTGATTCAGCCTTCCATCCTTCCGAGGTCGGTAAAATGAGGACCCAGATTGTTGAAGGCAGTGCTTAGAGAGCATTGTAAAGCACTATGAAGCAGTATATAAGTCTAAGTGCTATTGCTATAGATACCTTATTCTGTGTATTTGGTTTTCAGTACCTAAGTGCAGAAACCTAGAGTTTAAAAATTACTTAAGAAGGTGATCTATAACTTCTACACATGTACAAATAAATGACATGGTCCAAGCCACAGATCTTTCATTTCTTATTCATGATGGATCAGCATCTCCTTCAGGCTTTCTCTTGTTCTATACATGTAGTCCTTGACTTATAATATGTCATTCGCTGTTCAAAGTTACGATGCCCCCCTCACCCAAAAGATATTTACAACCCAGTTTGTAAGTTCTCCTGTTGCCCTCCCCTCATGATCACGTGATTGCATTTTGGATGCTTGGCAACCAGCCCGCATTTCCAGGTGTTTCTAGTGCCCCTTGATCACTCAATCACAATTTACAATGGTTTTGCAAGACACCAGCACTTACTTCTGGTTCTGGCAAAAAAAACAGCTCATGGCAAATAATGGCCACAAAGTTTACTTAATGGCTGCCATGAAAAACAGTGTAAAATCAGGTTGGGTCATGTGGTCACCCTCTTTACGACTATCATGACTTACAAACGTAATTGCCAATCTCAACGATGGTCCTAGGGCAGGGGTGTTAAACTCAAGGCCCGTGGGCCGGATCCAGCCCATGATGTGGTCAGATCTGGCTTGTGGGGCCATCCTGGAAAATGTAAGGGCTGACCTGCGTCACTTCAGCCCGATCTACCCAATGCGGCTTTGGCCTGGTCTACCCAGTGCAAAGAGGGAACATCAGACCAGTGTAGCTTCAGCCCAGTCTACCCAGTGCGAAGAGGAAACATCGGGCCAGCGTGGCTTCGGTCCAGTCTACCCAGTGCGAAGAGGAAACATGCCAGCAGTTTGGCGAGTGGTGTGAAGCTGGCCACGCCCACGCAGCCATGCCCAATGAGTGGCGTGAAGATGGCCATGCCCACCTAGTCGGCCACGCTCCCCCTAGCCCCCCCCCACAAGGCCAACCACAGCCCTGATGCGGCCCTCAATGAAATTGAGTTTGACACCCCTGTCATAGGGACTACTTCTATATGCTGCTTACAAAGATCCTATTCTAAAAAGAATGGCACAGTAAAACTGGATTCAGCTGATTGCGACTTGCTGTGCAAATATTATCTAAGTAAGGCACTGAAAACCAAGTTCTAATCTATGCAGCGTTAATCTATTCCTTCTTTTAGAATCAGTGACAAGCACAGACACTTTCTTCTGAGGCACAGTTTTATTTGAAGCAAGCAAGAGACCAGCTTTGATCTTGGCACAATTCCAAATCCACAAGAATACATTTCTGTCTCTATCAAAACCTCTATGTGCTTTCTCCTTATTACAATGCTGCAATTAAAATCTTTTGAATGTGATAACTCATACTTTACAGCTACATTTTAAACATCAGTGCAGGCAGAGAAATATTCGGGCACACTCAGTGCCAAGGACCCCATGTCATGAGCTGAAACTCCCATTCATTTAAGATTGTACAAACCGAATATAACCCATAGCTCAATGACACATTTCATTTCTCTTTTCAGAGTGTTTTTAAAGGACTCGGTATGCCTGGGGAAATCACACAATCAGACTGGGCAATCCAACAAAGTGGGAGATTAAAGGCAATCCTTTGTTCCACCTACCTTTCTTTTCCTTTCGTATTTCCCCCCGCCCCCCGAACATTTGTGAATGTATCTATTATAATCTGCTAAAGCAAAATTTGCTTTAGCAAGATAACCTGCTAAAAGCAAGCATTCAAAAGACACTTTCCTGTTGGCAAGTGGCCATTGAAAAACTAAGCAAATGCAGCCACATGGGCAGTTTTGGGGACCCCAAGTGTGGCCCATATATAACCCCACTGCTCCGAGAACTGCAATGGCTGCCAGTTTGCTTCTGGGTCCAATTCAAAGTGTTGGTAATTACCTTTAAAGCCCTTCATGGCCTGGATCCAGGCGACTTGAGGGATGTTACATCCTACTGGGATTGGCCTGCCCCACCTGTGCCAGCAGAGAAAGCATGGTACTGTGCTGCCCTGTTCCCCCCCACACACATACAGGTGTTTATTCAACCCCGACAAACAGGTCCTCAGAAAGCATCCTTGTTGCACAGGTTTGGATTCCAGCACGGCAAGAGTCATTGAATAACCAAGTCCAATGGGCACACACAAAGTCCAGGAAAGTAGTCCACGAGTCGAATGGATCAGGATACCTGGCATTAGCACACAAGGCATGGAACTGGACACATTGCTCCAGCAATGCTCAAGTCCTCAGGGCATGATTAAGTTGGTGGCGCCAATGCAGCCCTTCACAAGAGGCAAGGTTGCCTCCTTACAAGTAGTCTAGCTGCCCTGCATTGTGCCTGCCTCCTCTCTGGCCAACGTGTCTTTGGATCAGGAGGAAGTGTGGACTCTACCTCCTCCTCATTGCTAATGGGCAGCAGCTGCTCCCCAGTCCTCGCCTGGAGCCTCCTGGCCAACTTGTTGCAGCTGTGACTTGCCTCGCTCAGCCTCAGCCTGTCACTCATCCACTTGACTCAGCTGAGAGTAGTCTGTCAGGCTAGCATTCTCTAAGCCCCATACAGGCCATCACTCAGCTCTGCTCTTTCCTCAGCTGACTCAAACTCCTCCTCCAAACTTATGTCCAAAGAGGAATCTGGGGGCAGATCCATGACAGATATGGGCCCCATCAGCCAAGGTATTTCAGCTAGTGGGCCCAGGAGAAGAGCCTTCTCTGCCATTGTGCCTTTATTCCCTTTAGAATATCTTACCCCATCATTACCCTGAGTGTGGTCAGCTCCAACCCTCCTTACCTTCCATAAGACTGGCTCTGCCAATTGTCTTGGGGCTCCGAAGCAGGGATTTCACATAGGGAGTGGTTGATAGATTAACAACAGATCCCGCCCTCTTCTCATCATATTCTCTCCTTCCCTGACTTTGCAGAAGGCAGGAAGATGATGGCTGATGATGATGATTGCTCCATAAGAAAAAATATTTGCATCAGTGGTGGGTTTCAACCCATGTAACAACTGCTTCGCTTCGCACAAGTACAATGCATTTCAGAACAGCTAAGCCGCGGCAATCAGATCTGCTGCACCTATCAGCTGGGCTAAAAACAAACAAATATAGGTAGGTATAAGCAGGGGTGGATGGGAGGGCCTAGCTGACAGTTGGAGCGAATCGGTTCCCTCTCAGCTCACAATCACTGCTACCAGATTGCACGAACCGGGGCAAACCGGTAGAAATCCACCACTGATTTGCATATCCTTCTCAATTTATTTTGACTATTCCTCATTCTTTCACTTGGACTCTCCATCCTACACAAGTGGGTAGGGTGAGCCGTCTACTTGTATCCATCCATCAGGTTATTAGATCAATTCTATTAATAACAAGTTGGGAGATCTCAGAAATGTGAATTTTAAATAAATAAAATTTATATCCCTTGAGAGTTCCTTCAGAATCTCAAGACAATCTGTACAGTGCTTCCATCTCTTATTTGCCCTGTGAGTAGACTGGTAGGTTGTGTTGAGAAAAGTCTTCCAGAATGTCCCATTGGGTTTCTGTGGTCCAATATGGACTAGAAAATGACATCACTATTGCTAATTGAACATCTTAACTGCTACACTGCATAGGCAATTTTTAATATTTGTAAACTGCCCTTATATGAACAGAAACAGAAAATTGTGTAGAATTAATAGACTGATCATGGGCAAGCAGGTTAAAAAAAAAAACAATTTCTAGGTCAGCCTTCTCTAAATATGCTGTCCAG